CTCCCAAAGAATACGTACTTTATGAATCATTTGCGTTATACTCAGAATCATGTATCGATTACTTCAGATCAAAGACGAAAAAAGAATAATAAGAACCGTCTAATTACCAAATTTTCAGATTCAATATTGAAAGAAGTAGGCATCGCCCTTAAAATAAAACACGGCGTATCGTATGACGTCATCCACCGCAGTAGTGCATCATGGTTTTGTCGACCTTGGTTTTATCCGCGTTTCAAGGCTAGGAATCTGTAAAAATAAGTGTATCACTAATCGATGAATCCAAGGCGGAGGATACCATAGTATCCACTACCACGTTGGATGACTTCATACATGGTACTCTCGAAGGATGATATCTTCGTTGACATCAGACGTGAAAACTGGGTTCTTGGATGGATGTCATTTTTTTTTCCTAGCGTAAGAGCTTAAACCATGAAACGCGATTCTGTGACTAGTACAACTGACCAATTGAAAGTCAAGTTTAAGTTAACTGTCATTTATTATAAATCACGAACAATAATGGAAATTTTTCCAGTCATGGAGATCTCCCTTTCGCTACAAAACTTGTGGAAACCCATATATCTCAAAATATACACATTAAAAACATCGCTCTGGCAAACAACCTCTACATTCAGATTCCTTTAAGTCAAAGGTCATTTCTTATAAATCACGGAAAACAACGGAAATTGTTCCAGTCATGGGGGATCTCCCTTTTGCTACACAACTGGTGAAAACCCATGTATCCCAAAATTTACACATTAAAAACATCGCTCTGGCAAATAACTTCTACATTCAGATTCCTTTTGAACCGCGTGAATGTCACCATCTCAATACGAATCTACGACACTCCTGTGACCCATTTTACGACGCGGGTCCCCGGAAGATGGATCCTGGCGGAGGATCCGAGCTTGCGGTGCATGACGTCGGACGTCGGACGTCGGACGTTGGGCGTAAATAGTGCGTGAACTGAATTCGGTGCCGGTTTCAGCCCCGTCGAGCCGGTTCCCGGTTCCGCGCGGCTCCGGCCGCCGCACACTGGATCGAGTCAATAGGAGAGGACGGACACAATTTGGAAACTTTAAAAGCCCATTACTCCGTTTATACAAAAATTTGAAATTCTAAAAGTTGTTCCATTGGTTTCCTCATAAAATGTTTAACTTGAAGCACCCCTTAAAATTTAAAGTGTGACGAAATAAACATCAAAAATTGCAGTTATAGTAAAAAACTTCATGTCCAAGCATGTAATTGATTCGGTCAACTGTGCGGCGACGGCGAGTAGCCACTGGTTATACGATAGGCTACTCAGTACTATGCCGTCCTAAGGATAAACGCTGTATGTACATTCGTTCGTTGCCGAACCTCTGCCATTAAAATACGGATTGATGTTCTTGTGTGAAGAAAGGTTTTTGAAAAAGCTCTGAACGAGAAGACAATAATGACATTTTCAACTGTATTCCCGGCTAATTTTGGTGCCAGCCAGAAGTTTGGTCACAATAATCAGATGTATGGTTAAGACAGCTAGAAATCGTCCCGTCGTCGCTAGTTCCGCACGAAAGAACGCGTCACTCTTTTTCAACGTTGCAACGTCGGCTCAAACAATTCGATTTTTTACAAGAATGTATCGCGGCCTGTTTTGTCCAACATTTTCCCGAGTTGTGCGTGAGATCAGAAGAAAAGTCAGCGGAATTTTCCGTAGATATACCTAAGATTTCCCTCGTAAAAATGCAATTTGCGAGGGTAAATTTAACAACATTGAAACGTGTCTTCGTGAAAGAAAAGCCGAATTTTGGCTGAATCATCCACATTCTTGGCTGACGCCAAAAGTAGCCAAGGATATTCTTGAAATAATAATGATTTTTTCTTGTCGGTAAAATATGCATTTTTGTTATAGGAAAACTACGAATAATTTGCCTGAAATTGTCAAGCACACCGGATTGAATTGCACAAAAATTTCTAAAGATATACTTTTATGAGCAAAATTAAACATTTTTTTTTCTTTCCATCTCCAGACGCAATGCGAATACGATCTTCTGAGGACTTTATAAAGAACGAATCCCCAACTTCTCCGAAAAATTCATTATTTTAAAAAAAACAATTCGTACTTTACCTGAGATATTTGACTACGTTGGTGTGTACCTGCGTTGTTTTTCTGCCAGTGCGGCAGCTCCGCGCCAGAGCGTTTAAGCGTTACTGGGGCACCGCGACTTGTCAGTCTGTGTTCACTGCTTACTGCTGCCACATTCAGATCAGACCGCGTAAGCTCAATGGAGACCTTATATTAGTTACGCTGTTATTACTCACGAGTCAGTCTGCTCCTTCGTTTATTAATAACGGTAAACTCGGGGGCACGAGGCGACGAAGACCGCGGCAGGTTTTGCGCATGCGCGTCTCCCCGGCTTCTGAACCCCCTCACCCTCCAACCGCCCCTCGAAGCCCCCACCGCACCCCCTCGTCAAGCAATAACATTGTCGTGACGAGCAAAACGGGTCTCAACCGTTGCAGGAATGACAATGACAGTTGGATTACATTTTACCTTAAGAAACGCGTATTTGTTGCTTATTTTGGAAACAACGCATGTGTAATTGATTTCCCTATAGGCAGACTTCTTCGAGGTTAGATTTCCGATTTTTTTTTTTTTTTTTTTTTTTTTTTTTTTTTTTTTTTTTACAATTATTAGTATTATGAATTAACATGCAAATCGATGCCACGAAAGAGGAAGAAATAATATAGGTACAGTCAACACAATATAAGTTTTGAAAATCCTTCACCTCTTCTGAGATTAGGAGGAGAAAGTGGACGGTTGTAAGATATTGTAAGCTCTATTACAGTTATTAGATGTTTAAAAATCAATAAAACAACTAGAATCATCAGCCACCTAAGTACAATCTCACGCCGCGCACATAATCAATCGGAAAATAAGCATTCAGCCGATCGTGGAGGGAAATATTTCTTTTTGACTACATTCTTACCCTTTCGTTAAAGTCTCCAAGTGATCTTTTTTTTTTTCTTTTTTATTTCCTCGAAAAAAATGCGCTTCAGTAATAAGTTGGCACTTACTCATTTCTCGCGAAGTCGTTTTATGTCACTACCCTTTCATCGGGAATTTTCTTGTCCCTCATATGTAGGAGGGTCTCAATCAAGCGTTCCGTTCTGCAACCTTTCTTCCGTCATTCTGTTTACATGATAATACCAGATATATGATCAAGACGTCGAATAAGATGCCATTTTCAACTTCCATGATCTAACTCACTCCACGAACAATCCCGCCCATCTGCAAACTGACGATTTTGCAGAACGAAGAGAAAACTTCGTCATTTTTTTAATTTAAAGGTTAGATTTGCATTTTTTCCATACCTTACAGCGTCATTGAAGCGCTTCCCTATAGAATTGGAAAACAACTAAAATTACCAGGCCGCGTAATTTTTACTGTAGAATACGGCAGGCTTTGCCGAGAGCGAGAGTTAGCGGCTTGCTAACTCTTTTTTGCCAAAATTTCTGTTAGGCGGATTTGTCTTTTGTTGCGGGCGCTATCCCTTCCAGAAATTCTTGCTGACCTCCTCCAGGAATCCATCTGCTTTACTCTCAACATAGCCCGTGGCCATGATTTCCAGCTGCAGAACTTCACTCGCAAACGTTAAAACACTTAAAATACGTCCACTGCAGCGTTGAAAACTCTCCTCTCGTCAAAATGCGTTACGTAATCTCCTTTGTGGTGAAATACATTGTATGCAGAATTTTTGAGGAATTCCTGCGGAATTACGACACTTTGCCTCCAACATCTCAGTAATTTATATGCGACAAAAAATGCCATACCCTCGACCGGTTGAAAGAGCATTTCAGAGTAACGATAACGAAGTTGGTGCGCGTCATTTTGTAATCCTCATTCCAGTCCTAAGTCCTCACCCGCGTGCTTCTCTCCAAAGCAAAAGCTCGCACACTTTCGATCTTCAGTTTTATAACGCTAATTTGTTTATGTGTTTTTAATCCCTGTCGGAGGTGACCTACTTAGCCCTCTTTCCGTCCCGTCTCCGTTTCGACCGCAAATGCTCCGCAGCTGGAGTTGCGTAAAAGCTCATTTCACATTCACGCGTATCCTTTTCCGCGGAGTAAGTGAGCTGTTCGGTGCATTTGGAATTCCGGTTATTTAGGCCGTATTCGCGGAACCCTGCAGCTACACCGACGAGAGATAAAATGAGCATTGTGAAAAAGCAAGCTTTGTGGTCGTCCTATTTTTCTAGGACTGTTGATGACCACACGTCAATATGGGCAGCGTTTAGCAGGAAGGAGCCAAGCCACATCCGCTTCTGCCAAATTCAACCGAGCGATTCAATTTTAAAAGAGGATTTTCTTTCACAAGAGAGGTTTTACGCGCACCAAGAAAAAAGGTCGCTTGGATCTAGAGTCCAGACTCTTAAAAACATTGACCAGAAAAAATACTCTTGATTCAATCTAACTTTTTCTTGAATCGAAGAGGCGAGCTTCTTGATTTAGGCGGATTTCCTTTTGATTCAAGCAAAAAGTCTGAATCAAGATTATTTTTTCTTGCCAATGTTTTTAAGAGTTTGGACTCTAGATTCAAACTACTTTTTTTCCCAGTGCGGATTTTCTTGTAATTTTTGGGGAATTTGCTTCACACTAGACAAAAAATTCATTGAAATTTGCTGAAAAATCGACACAACCGTTTTCATGTAACAAATTAAATTTCCGACTTTTTGACAATAGTTGATGAGACTTGGTTCCTTTCTCCTTAACGCGGCCTATATATGCTTGAACACAACCATTCCAGTACATAGTCCACATAACCATTACCAATCCAGTTATAATATCGAATACAAACAGTAAACTAGGTGCTTCGTCAAAAAGTCGTTTCCAAAACGAAATAATTTAGTCCCACTTTAAGGTTACAAAATTGATATGAACAAATTAATTTTTTAAAGGAGTACAACTGCGCAATTCCTATGAGAAATTTGTTGGTTTTCGCGTGTAATCAAAAGAAAAATCAGTGAGATGTCCAGTGTTTATAAGCTTTTCCGTGTTGAAATAAAAAAATGAAGGAACTTCCCTCTACAACTTTGGTTCCGCAGTATAAAAATACTGTTCACAATTACAGTCGTTTGTACCAGCAATAATTTTGAAAAGTCCATTGTCACCCCATTCAGGATTCCAGGAGTTGGCACACAACCAGTAGCCGATGCCATTTTCTGTTCCGTAACCGAGCACTCTTACAACGTGCCCTCCTATATGCGCGCCAGTCACATGCTTGTATACCCCTGTAAAGAATCAACCAGGAAATTCATTTGAATTATTGTGTCTTAAATCTTCTAACTTTTGAATCATTAGGAAAAATAAAGAAAACTAGTCTCTGCTTTTTTCGTGGATACATCATGAAAAATCGACATTAACAGGGACAACCTAAGACAACACTTTCAGTTTTCAATGTATTAAATGCATTACTACGAAGTCATACGCGAATCTTGTACGCAAATAAAGCGATAAAAAATTGAAGTCCCTAGCCTAGCCGCATACATATACCTAAATTTTTCAAAACTTCATCACGGCATTGCATAACTTCGCAAAACTTCGTTAATTTTATCGAGAATCTACCATTAAACTTTGTTCTGTTTCATATAATACCCTGTTATCAACTTCCGAAACCAAAGTCTGTATTGACTGAAGTGTTACTCATTTTTTTGCAAAGATTTGTCCGTATATCGTCTGGTTTTGTTTTTTATTCTCTGTAAAGAAAATTTGCTCTCTGCAATTCATAAAAATATTGAACGATGAATACCTGATTTATAGAGATAGAAGTCCTCGTATATTTGGAAACTCATCGTACATGGACCGATTTCGCTTAGCTCCTTTTTGGCATCGCCAATCTTCACGTGATAAACGCGTTTACCTTAAGACAAATACTAAATTTAGAAAATTCCATGATACAAATATTTTTGATGTAGAAACGAATTTTAAAATAACAATGCATTTATTAGCTTGTTTTTCGGCCCCGCACATCCTTCCTCTGAGAATGGGTATTCGTGAGCGAGTAAAGTCTACCTATAACTCTTAACCAGCCCTCACGGTATGACAAAAGTTTTCATTGAAATTTTGGATAACTTGCTACAAAACACCAAACAAACCCCCTCTAAAGGTCATCCACAATAATATATGTATTATTACATATTGTCTTATTATAATAGCATCAGACTTGTTACTTATTATTGATATGAACTATTTCCTTTTTTAGCTCTCTATTTAGTAAAAATCCAAAAACTAGCTTTAAGACTCATCAATCTGTACAATCATCCCAACCATAGAAGCTGAAGAACAAGCATTTTCAAACATATTTGGTTTCATACGTTCCTAAACTTCCCATCGCTCTAATTTACTCACCAAAGTGTCTGTCCTTGTTTAGCGGAGTTTTGTAGCTCTTATTGGGGCACTCCTTTACGCAGGTTGGCACCACTGTTTCGTTGTAACTACGACAATTCGGAAATTTTCCCTTATCGCCCATGTGGTGAGAGCAACCCTTTATCTCGTACGGCATGCACCCCTGAAAAGTTTTAAATTTTACTGAACTTTTGCATGATGGAAAATAAGGAAGGATATTATCAACGGCGCCAAATTCGGTAGACGTCCTAATCAATGTTCCACAATAAATCCATTCACGATTGAAAATTACAAGAATTTCAGGAATCGATGTTTTAATTCGGACCTAAAATTACACGAATGTATCCCCAACTATCATTTACACTATATTTTGCGATTCGGAACCACAATTTCTGGTTCAGTCTAGAAGCATCGTATGTACCATTAGTTTTCCCATGTACATGAGTGTTTTTACAGGTGAACCAGAAATTGTAGTTCCAAATTGCAAAATTAAGTCCACTTGTAAGTGGGGGATGGAAGTTAATGTGGTAAAGACGGAGAAGTTGGTTATCGGTGGTGATCAGCAAAGCTAGAATTGTATTTAGCAAATGGATGGTTTTTATACAAGGATTAAAAATAAACATACGGTACGCAATAAAACAAAAGAATATGAACTATGCGAAACGATACTCCGGGTATCGGAACTTGGCTGATTTAAAAACGCCTTCAATTGCGGCGTGATACCTCACGCATTCCGGAGAGTTCAAATAGTTGTATCATTGCGCCTTAGGAATGCGACGGAAGATTAAAATGGAAATAGGCCCCGTGCACGCTGGGCTTGTCGATTTCCTTTGACATTTTAGCAGTCGTGAATGCATAGCTAAATTGCGCTCCAGCTAGAATTGTATTTAGCAAATGGGTGGTTTTTATACGAGGATTAAAAATAAACAAGTGGTACGGAATATATCAAGAGAATATGAACTATGCAAAACGATAACCCGGGTATCGGAACTTGGCTGATTCGAAAACGCCTTCAATTGCGGCGTGATACCTCACGCATTCCGGAGAGTTCAAATAGTTGTATCATTGCGCCTTAGGAATGCGACGGAAGATCAAAATTGAAATCGCCTTCATGGCCTTCAAAATTGCTAAATCAGCAATTTCATTTTTTCTGTGTTCTCTAATATTGATAATTGTATCACCGAGGTCTTTTCCTCACCTGATTAGAGCCAAACTCTCCGCCCGTGGGTATTCCTTTCTTCACGTAGTATTCGAAAGCTTTATCGGGGCGGCCACCGTCGCAACCGGCACCGCATTTTTCACCTCCCACACAACAGGATGCGATGTCCCACGACGAAATCCAGTCCTTCCAGGCGCCCTTGCTCGCGATACAGATCTTATCTGTGACGACAGAGGCCACGGCTACAGCCTAAGCACAGCCCAAAATCAATGGATTAGCTCCTGTCAACTCACCGACATGTTTCGCGTCCGAGCCATTTTAAGAAGCCGTGGTGGTTTTTAAAAGTTCACAAATCTGTTTTTCCTCCATTTATTTGCATTAAAAATGTCGATTTTAGGCAGGCAACCTCACCTAAAATCGATTAACCTCACTTAAGGCTCATGCGGAAATTGAGATTAGCTTTTAAGGTGATTCGATGGACGCCATATTTTGTGTTAGAACGGCATGCGATATATCGCATCAATTGGTTCCATTTTTTCAGCTGCTCGTCATTTTTCTCCAATTTTGAGATCGCAATTCTGTTGTCAGGAGACTAAAGCACTCACTTACCAATTTTAACAAAGAAATTCAACGTAATAAAGGTGTGGTTTTTTTTTAGAGAGAAAATATCGCATTCGAGTGCAGTTTTGATATCAGTATCGAATGCGATGTTTTCTCTCTAAAAACACCACGCCTTTATTACGTTGAATTTCTTTGTTAAAATTGGCAAGTGAGTGCTTTAGTCTCCTGACAACAGAATTGCGATCTCAAAATTGGAGAAAAATGACGAGTAGCTGAGAAATGGAACCAATTGATGCGATATATCGCACGTCGCTCCGACACAAAATATGGCGTCCATCGAATCACCTTAAGTTATAAAAGCGACGGAATGTAAGTGGTCGTAGACTCCTAGAAAATAAGTAAAAGAAGCGAAAGCCAAAAAATCCTCAAAAGAAGTTACAACCGTGATGCATACCCAACAACTACCGCAGCTCCCCTGATCGTAGATGTGGGCAACACTCGGGCAGTTGGTCCACTTCTTCCTTGCGTCAAACTCAGCAGGCGGATCAGCGCTAGTGTAGGTTGTAACCTCGGACCCATCTTCATGGGTATCCAAAAGAAGTTTTTCCTCTGATATCCAGGCTGAGGCAAGTCGCCTTAGGTAGTCCGAAGGCGTGTCATCATGAAAGTTTTTCCCTGCCTATGAAATGAAGACAGAAAATATTGAATCCTCTCTCTACCATTTATTTCAAATAATTATGACGTATGCAAAACGAGCTATAAAATTCAGACACTGTTCGTAAAATTTATTTTGATCCTCTCGCAGGTATTACCACTCTTGATTAGCCTACATTGTCTCATCAAAATACTGAGGGCAAAAGGATCAGCAGCGTGATTCTTGAAATTTTGTGTTTATCGACCGGTTGAATAAATATGGAAGAAAATGGAGTCATGCAATTGGTCGTTGCTCGGAATCGTGCGCCTTGTCGTCATGTCGCACAATGAATCGAGTCAATGGGAGGAGTCGGACAAAATTAGGAACCTATAAAAGCTCATAATTCCGTTTATACAAGACTTTGAGGTTAAAAAAGTGGTTCCATTGGTTTCCTTGTAAAATTTTCTTCAAGATGCACCCCGTATAATTTAAAATATGACGAATTAATCATCAAAATTTGCAGTTTTAGGTAAAAATACCACGTCTGACCTCTGTAATTGCGTGTGTGTTAGTGTATCGTGCCGATAAAGGATGAATCTGAGAAGGAAGGGATTTGAAAAGATGGATAAAGTATCGGCAACTCAAGAGGTGCCTTTAGCTTCTTGTTGATTTGATTACACCCTTTATCGGTACAATAAGTCGCACAACTCAAAGCATTGGCCAATCGTATGAATCCACTCTCTTTAGTCTTATTGTCTTATCCGGTCCATACACAAAAATATTTCAACAGTCAGGCTACAGGACAAGTGCAAACTCCCAATCAGATCGGTGAAGTAAATTTTGTGTTAATTTTTTGGCAAAAAAAATCGAGTTCGAAAGTTCTTTAGTGATTTCGAGACGTGAATGAATCGTCTAGTTAAATAATCACAGCGGTCCGCCATCTACCAATGTCCCTTTTACTTAAAAAAAAATTTGCTATGTTCGATCAAGGAAAATTTTAGTACCCGTTCATATACATCGTCATTACCTTCCACGACGACTGAACCTGGTTGATATATTCGATCATTTGGTCTTGATTTTTAAGACTGAAAGTTTTGGAGTTGTCTGGAATAATTTCCCTCGCTGATACGGGAAGTAGAGCGAGCGCCTCTGATAAGAGAACGGCTTTCCATAAATGCCGAAGATGATTGCCAGGATTCAAAACTGCATAATTTTCACTACAAAACAGAAATGTTTCGATTGTTACCTCAAATAATTGATTTTGTTTTTTAACTGTAGCCAGTTTCAATAAATGAATGAAAATCCACAAAAATTATTTGTAAACATTGATTTTCTACCACGGGCGCATAACGTGTAACGTATTTTCGAGGTCTGTGGATCACATAATTTGATATTTTGTAAACAGACAAACTCGCTGCAAATAATCTCCATGAGTGGCTAATATGGCCGATTGTAAGTCTCATTGGAATTGTTCACAGATGAAAAGGGGCATGAGAGTTTCGGTTTTGGATGGATCGTGTGAAATCGTGGGATAGATACTCTTTGTTGGTATTAGTGGCGGTTTTGCACGTTGGCAACACTGTTTTTCCACCATTTAAATCCATTAAAAATATCGATTTCAGGTGAGATAAGGTCTCTCGCCAGGAATCGATTATTTTACCTACATTTAAATGGAGGAATTACAGTGATACTAGATTTCAAGAATCGTCATTGGCTGGTTTGATGTTTATGCTTGATTCTCGATGAATTTTTTGAATCTTAACATATACTTTCCCCTTTCCGGTCGTCTGCTTTCATCGATAACGTATATCGAACGTTTGAAGATACATCCGAATTTTGCATGATTATCTTTTTGATAAGTGGGACTATTTAAGCTACATATTATATGGTACAATTGGTACACTATATGAATGAGACTTACCGTGGAGCAATTTTTTTGAGAAACGTTTTCCCCCTTTCCTGAAAAATAACGAACAAAATTCGAGCACACAACCAGAACTTCAATGGAGCCTGTGTAAAATCAATCATTCTTATCAATATTAGTGATTTTCCAGTGGGTTTTCAAAACTACAAGCTCGCACTCAAGCCTCGGAGGGTTGCAACCATTTTTCAAATTCACTAAAAGGCTCTCTTCGTATGCCAGAGAAAGAATTTGAGAAAGAAAGAGTCCTTCGCATGACAATGATAGGTGACCTTGCACTTGAACAAAGAAAGCTGAAAATTTGAAATGGTGGAAGCTGAGTCTACGTTATGAATTATGAGCAAGTGCTGCTGCGTTTTTTCAGTGACTTTCGCAAAATGAGATGCGCAAGTAAAAAATCTTACATTAATCAAATGGAATTAGAATTACGAGTTTAAAAAAAAATCAAGACCTGTCAATCTCTTTCTACAAACACCACGCGTACCACCGGTACACCCATGTGGTATGCGAATAGCTGTTTTAAGTATCGAGCTGTATTAAGTAAGCGAAACATTTTTAAGGTTTTAGCTTGTGCGTTGAGGGTATCAATTGGGCTACATTTTGGAATTAGGAGCTACAGTTTCCGGCTCATCGGTAAAAATACTTACATGCATAGGAAAAGGAATGTTCCATACGATTTTCCTAAACTGAGCCAGAATTTTTAGTTCCTTATTTGCAAATGAAATCTAATCATTTTAACCATATTATACTTTGCCAAAATTTTTATTCACAAGTAAGGAATTCAACAATCCTCTGCTTTGAGATTTTTTTCCAACATTATTTATAGTCTACAGGAAATTGACGGAAAGTTTGTGAGCATATATTACATTGCATGGTGTAAAATAAAAACAGCTCGATTTTAGTTACAAGCTGGTTGGATAAATTACACACGTCTTGACTTCTGTCCATATTTCTTGTTAGGGGTTACTCCTCCGATGAACTGCATTTTATCAAACTATCATAGTTACTCGTACATAGCAAGAAACACAGTTGAAACTTCGATTCCATTAAACTGATTGTTCAATTATACTTTTATAAAATTTAAGCGATGTATTATCTAGAGCAATCCGTTTTCCCGTAAGTACATAAGCCTTTTAGTTCCAGTTGAATGAGAACTAAGAAGTCTCTTATTGTGCACGTATCTGCACGTTCAATGTCATTTTTTTTTTCAATATAAAACCCTACCAGCAACAAGCTCTTATTTAGAAGTAATTTATACAAAAGATTAGCAAGCGCCAATAATAATCTAAGGGGTATGGAAGTGTTTGATTGCAAACGGATTCATCTACCCACTCGAAACAGCATCTACTAATCGAAAAACTAGGGCAGATGAAAACGAGGAAAAAAGCTCATTTAAAATTCAGCTGTTTTGAATAATATGTACGCTCTTTTGCCCAGGAGCTGTGTGAGATCGCCAGTTTTGGTTTATTAGATTCCCGAAGCAGTTAAAGCTCCTTGAGGCTTTTAACTTATTCTAATGAGTAAAAAAAACGAATCCTGTCAATTATTTACCAAATTGTGAAGTGAAACCATTGATTGACCACCATTCAATCATAACATCATTGATTGATGTTACAATGTATCGAAGAATGATCCTCTAGATCCTGAGTTTTATTTCATTCATGGGAGCTGTGGCAACTGGTACCAAACTTGCAGTGTTAATTTTACGCGGGGTTACCTCTCTCAGATGTATGATATGCCACCAGGTGCATATCTGGTAACGGCTCTACTACCAATCAATTTCCTCTGAGTTACATAGTAAGGACATAGGTAACCGAATCATGTTTTTTCCGTGTACAGAAAATATTCAAACTTCAGTCATGAGTGTAAGTTAGGTACTTCTCTCTAAATTTAATAGAAAAACCTTGTAGACCCAATGTGAACTACTTGTATGCCTTTTCGTGGCCGAAAAATCATTTTAACTCCATAAAGGAAATCTCAAAAAATGAATTTGTTCTAGCAAACGAAGAATAATTGGTGGCCATTGGCTATGACAACCTCCATTACGTTTGGTTTTTTAAAAAAAATAAAAGGAAACCGGTAACATGCTGATTGAGGGATGCCTCTTGATGTTTTAGATAACATTCAAGGAACAGATAATTGACTGCATTGGTCACCCAAGACTCAAATGACCACAAAAAATCAGTTTAAACGGTTCTTTTTAGCTTCGACGCCAACTCGTCCACTCGCGTGCAGACATTCGTGATTTAGTTTTACGTTACTGATTTTTGGTGAAAGTGGAATTCAGCAGGTGTAAGAAGCTATATACGTGAACTGAACAATGCAATCAAGTCGAGGCGGACTGCTATTAAATCTGTTTGACTTCAAACTTTATAAAAATTAATGGTCAGAGAGATCGACTCAAGGAGTTGAATAAACAAGGCCATAAAAAAATTACCAAACTTTTACCAGTTTTGTTTTAGATTGAAGAGCTCCGATAAATTTTACGACTATATTTAAAATAGCCGTGGTTTTCTTATCATTATTGAGTTCTGAAAAGTCGTAAAACGCGTTATCGCACTGCCCACCGGTGTACGAATTTCACTTTCTATTCTGCTTTGTTTAACTATCTTCAAATTTTAAAATTATGCACATTAGAGAAATGTGAAGTCGAGTCGATGGTCACAAGTTTGTCACCATTTTTTAAAAACAAATTATTTTGTATGTTGGAGCCACTTAAATAAAAATCTTCATATTTGCTAATGGCAATGGAAACATCTATAGAATTCTGATCACAATTTGACTAAAGTTTTCCGTATCATTTGACTCAGAGATTTTACATGGGTTTAAATGGAAAAAAACAGATTTTTCAGCACTATCTGGCAACAATGATTGATAAATGTATGTGTTGTGTGTTTGAGAGTGTGACAGCGCACATGATTTGATGTTTTTGAAGCCATTATTGCCAAAAACAGACCACCGTTTTAATAAATTCAAATTGTTCATTCAATTTGTTTTCGATATCTTGCTGATTGCTTATTCCTGCAGTTCTGCCTTACAATCACCTTAACTGAATCGGTCACTGTTAGACGATCGTAAGTCCAAACACTCATGAGCCCTGGCTTTTGTTGATCACGCAGGACGCCAGCGGGCCGATTATTAAAATTGATAGACAAAACTATAGACAAAGAAGACAACAAAGGTATGGAGAGATCCTATTGGTAGAAGCGGGTGGTTGCGATGGACAAAGGAGGTACGCAATAGACTAAATAACGGCAACCTACGAGGGCTCCGATAGTTAGACCATCATTTTCTCCCTTAGTCTATAGGAACCACCCATTTCTACCAATAGGATATAGCTCCATAATCCCTATGTCTTCTTTGTCTATCGCTTTGCCTATCAATTTCAATAACTGGCCCGCAGGACTCATAAGTTTTTGGACTGATCAGTGATCCCCGTCCAACAAAAAGCTCTACAATTTTGAATTTTGTCAAGATTCCTTTTTCCATGATAGATCATACATTATCTAGAGACCGATTCTTTTCTCGGGCCATGATACTCTTCAACGGCACTCGAACGAAGAGACGAGACCGGGCGTAGACACGTCAGGAATATCTGCGGAGTGACAAATCTGATTTAAATTCAGGCCGTATCGCGGTCCGATCGCATGTCGGAGTCGGGCAAGAGAGCAGGGCGGCCGCCTTTACGGCTGCCAAGTCGGCTGGTCATCCCGACACCTCCCGCCTCGCCCCCGCCCCCGCTCGGTTGAAACCACCGATGTACCGAAGATTTACGTGGATGTTACGCGGTTCTTCGTTGACAGCGTGGAGCGGTCGTAAACGTATCGATTGACACCGTATGATGACTCCCATGGCTTGGAGCACGGTGCGGTTGGCGCGGTGTCCTCTTCCTGCCCGTGATATGGACGTATTTCTGCCAAACGGAACTATGTGCATTCTGACATGAGCCCTGAGACCCATAAGAATATATGCATAACAGGGCTCACGTCATATGACACATAAGTCCGTTTGGCAGAAATGCGTCCATATGACAGCCGACTTATACTGCACTGTAACACTTAGAAATGGACGTATTTCTATCAAACGGAACTATGTGCATTATGACGTGAGCCCTGTTATGCACATATTCTTACGGGTCTTAGGGCTCATGTCTGAATGCACATAGTTCCGTTTGATAGAAATACGTCCAAATGGCGTGGCTCCTATGTAGATTTTTCAATTATTTCTGACTAAATGTTTTATCAAAGGAAAAACAACGAGTTTTCCATAATTTTAGAATAGTTGGGTCATACCACAAACAATTCTGCCCGGATGAAATAAATCATGGTTGTGAGCGTTTTTTCTCGCAATAGAACATTATGAGCGGAATAATAGTGCCAAATCCTTACTGGCGTTACTAATTTTTTTGCTGTGGATGGTAGTATTGCTGTACCAAGAGAGAACGTCATAAAAACATATTTTTGTCTAATTTCAACAACAGCTTATCTTCCCTTAATTTCTACATGCAATTAGGTGTCTCTAAAATCATATTTATTTGCGTCTTTTTCATGGAACTCGATCAAAATACTACATAAGATATCGTGCGTTTTGAATGACTTAACTAAAATGACGTTATCAATATCGACCGTAGTAATGCATCCTATAATTTTCTCGTATTAGTTCCGAACGAGGATGCCAGTTATAACGTGAGAAGCTTTGTAATAAGATTCCAAGCAAACCTAATATAAACTTAAGGATTGCTCCTAAATGAATATATTCGAACTTTGTTGAAAGTAAATCGCTTTAATTCGATCACGAGCAATTTTTTTGTCCGTATATTTCATAGGCCAGGCGTGAAGGTTCCATTATCAATATCTTACCATTTAAAGCTGTGACAAAGAATTGAATATGAACGTTTTCGTGGCGAACATCCTATTTATCGATCCTTGTCCACAGGTTTAAATGGCAAATCAATCGATAGATCGCGAAATACGCCACGCCACTAATAAATCTTCATTTTGAAAATCGATCAAATGTTGGATACGGATAACGAATACAGAGATAATAATTTTATTTGAACGGATTATAATAAGCTCCCGAAGGCGAAGATGGGCTATTTCACACAGAAGACGGTGGTTCGCCGTTTTCTGTCCCGTAACCAAGCACCCTCACAGCATGCCCTCCTAACTTCTTGCCAGTTACTTGATGGTATACTCCTGAAAAATTTAAAGAACAGTACAAGGTAGATTTGCACAGGTATGGACAAGTTGGAAATTTCCCATGAGCCTCAGTACGTGTCACATGACTTCGTGACGTAGGTGAAGGGGCCAGTTTGACCGCACTATTCTCAACTTTATTGAAGAATTGCTCCATTTAAACATCAAAACACTATCACGCATTAACAATGGTAGGTAATAAGATCCTCGGGAACAATTAAATTATCTCCAAAACTTAAATAACGAATTATTACCAAATTGGAGAAACATAACCAATAAATCACCAACCAATCACAATAATGAAAGCATAAAAATGGCGGTCGTTAAGGGGCCACTAAAGAGCCAATCACAGGCCGGATTTTCAACTCGTCCATACCTGTGTTAATCTACCTTGGAACAGTATGTATAAATTCATAAAATCGGAGTTGTGGTGCCGGCACTTACGAGTTTTAGATACAGGTATACAAATACATCCTATAAAAATAATCAGACCTAAAATTGAAAAAAGAAAACTCGAGTGTCAACACAACCGAAGATAATGGAGACGGATTCGGGCCTCGTGTTTTGATTTTTCTCCCCTCGTGAAACGGCACCTCATTAGCAGTACGGAGCGGAGCATTGCTATAGTCACGCCTCGCGTCATCGCGCCTTCAATTTTGCAGCTGCAACACGGACATCCATCGAGCACGAATAGTTGTATCTCTACGTCGTCATCAACGCGCATCCTCTCCCTTGCTGTATTTCCATGTTGTGTTGGTTCCGCCTGGTTAACTTTCCGCTTCTTACCCTCATACTTTTACCTCATACCTCATACTTTTCCTCGTAGACTATTACCTGATTGCCTCTTTGTAAGAGTAGAGAAATTTTTTATAAAGCAATATTGTTGCACATGCTAGTTTTTTCCAAATTTTTTAAAGTAGGACTCCACGGTGGTAGATGTATGATATAAGTTTCTCTCCAGATTCATTAAATTGAACCAAGATTAGAAGCAATCGGAGTGTAATTATTCTAATTGATAAAAGTTTTTAAACTTTGGTTACCTGTTTTATAAAGAAAGAAGTCCTCATAAATCTTGAAACTCATCGTAACTGGGCCCTTTTCAACCAATTCTTTTTTGAGATCAGCAACATTCACTTGGTAAGCACGTTTCCCTAAAAATATTGGAAAAAAAACTCGGTTCATTCATTTTCAATGTAAGGATTTCAAGGAATCTAAAATTTATTCATTTTTAGCGAAGAATAGAGTGCGGAAGGCGACAAGAAAAGTAGAGTAAATTAAACTTATTTCACTACTTTCGAACGTTTGAATCTCATTTATGGGAGGTTGATACTCGTATTTACTGATAATTATCATTCCTCCATGAATTATTAGCTTTTAGATCAACCACATTTCGGTATCAGACCTCAACTGTGGGAACTGAAATCAAATCGTTTTGGGGATTATACTGGACACAGAAATATTGTATTTCAAACGTTATTGACAATTTCACTCAGTTGCCTTTTATAGTTTTAGATTCTTCATAACAATTATTACGCAATGAAATTAGCTCTGATTCGGAAATCAGACCCTGCGTGACTGAGACGCTGCACTTCATTTCCACACATATTTCCGCCCGATTTCATTACCACACAATTTTACGTTTTTCATCTCCACACACTTTCATTACCACACAGTTTATTCTTCTGCACCATTTGGCAACATCTTGTAGCGCGCTGCGAGAATATAGAAAAGAAATACCGGTAGAAGTTATAAAAATAAGTAAACCAAAAATTTATAAGGGCAAAAAGTACTCACCAGCTCAGAATTAGGGCAGAGAAGAAGAAGAAGGAACATCTGGATCATCTTCGCAAGCTTTTTGATCGCCATTGTCGTTATTTTTGAAGCTATGCAATTTTTTAATCTCGCCCAATTCATGCAGAAATTGTAGAGTCGTAATATATTTATATGTATAGTAAGCGTGGGTAGCACAAAGAATTTCCGACTCCAAATCAGCCTGCTTCGGTCTTTTCTTGAATACTTCATCCTTCAAAACAGATTTTATTTTAAGAGCAACAATGCTCTGGTTGTCACAAATTTTCTGAGCTGCCTTGTGTATGTTTGGGTGAGGGTGGTAAAATTCATTATCTAATTTACTATCGTAGCTCTCTACTCCGTTGGTGGTTGTAAATTGAGAGCTGGTAAATGCGCAAGCCCACATTGTTGGGGGAAACCGTGAGGTCTCAAGAATATAATTCCTCTGAAGATAACCTGCGAATTTAAGACACTCAGGATGGGGAGCTACGGATAAAAGCTGTTGAAAAGCAGAAATGACGTCACCAGGCTGGAGGTAAGAAAGGCAGAAAACGGATTGCAACCAAACTTTGATTTTTAGCGGCCGTGCCGCCGTTATCAGCGGTGCATTCCTATCGGCTCGCGAAGATCTGCTCCCAAATAAAAGTAAACATTTCTCATTTTCATCGTACACAGTTGCCAAATAGTGCATTATTGGAAAGTGTGTGGAAATGAAAGTGTGTGGTAATGAAATTCACCAAAACTGTGTGGTAATGAAATTGTGTGGAAACGATACGCAGCCGACTGAGAAAAACAAGCAAATAATTTACCAGCATTTTAAATGTCATTTAAAGGCATAAGAAGGAAAAAGCTCACGAAACAAGTATTTTTCAGTAACTTAAGAATTACTTTTTAAATCCTCTGTGATGTCAGTTGACTTACCAAAATGCTTGTCTTTGTTCATTGGTATCTTGTAGCCTTTATTGGGACATTCACTCACACAAACTGGAACCACTGTTTCGTTATAACTTTTACAATTAGGATATTTCCCTTTATCGCCCATGTGGTGAGAACAGTATTTTATTTGGTACGGCATGCAGCCCTGTGAAATAGAAAATGTCTCTGATTTTATTCATCGCAAATAAAACGTGGAAATAAAAAAGATAGACAGTTTCAAATTGAGATGCATGTATTTCTTGATCAACTTTTACAAGTTTACTTTGAACAAGTGAGTAGGACCAAGTGCAAATATTTTTTCATGGTTAAACGCTTTCCTTTGAGCCGTTTATTTTAGAAGCTACTGCCCCTCATTCCCCACAGTTCAAGAAATGATTCTATTGACAAGAAAGTTGATAAGCAGGGGTAATTGCAGGCGCTTTTCTCACTTTTAATCTCAGGAGTAGAAAAAATGCATTTTTCCAGGAATCACGCAGGACAATTTCCACTCAAACACCATAAGACTGTATCGTATGATGGTCGGCACAATCAGGTTTCAAAACCTCCAAAAATGAGTTCTACCTTCTCTCTGTATCAAAATTGAAGAAGAATCCAATTTTCTCCTCTTTTTTAGTCCTCCTTTTTTTCTTTCTTTCTTTTCTTCTTTTTTTAGTTTTTCTCCGATGATTCGACTCTTTCAAAACGTGTTGCCAGAATATTAAAAAAATGGACTTCTTTCCTCAAACATCATAGGACTACTGCTGTACCGGAGTTAAGCAGTTCTGGAGGAAATATTGTAATTCAATAATGTCCTAATTTGATCATAGAATCTCTGCAAATGATTTTATTCCAATCTACATGAACTTTAATTACGTCGGATATTGAATTAACATCCGGATTGTAAAAAAAGAGCGAAAACTGAAAACGTTCAAGTCAACCGCCTAATTTCAGACTCTGGGGATGTCAAGTTAACTGGCCGGGCTATTTAGACAAATTTTTGGAGTTCTTTGCTCATTTTCCAATAGTGTGTTAATTTGATATCCTTTTTTTTTTTTTTTTTTTTTTTTTTTTTTTTTTTTTTGGTGTAGTTTAAATCAGTGACAACATCTTCACCTGATTGGTCCCAAATTCTCCGCCGGTGACAATCCCTTGTTTCACGTGGAATTCGAAAGCTTTGGCGGTGTAGCCGCCGCCACAACTTGCACTGCACTTTTCTTCGTCCGTGCAGCAGCATACAAGGTTCCAGGCTGAAATATAGTCCTTGAATGCTCCATTAGTCGCGATACAGGTTCTATCCGTGATAACAGAGGCTACGGAAACAGCCTGAAATCAATGGAACGGAAATGAGTTATTTTACCAACCATCTATTCAATTTTTTCGGCAAAACCGGCTGAAACTTTAGGGAACTTTTTGAATCCGGCAAAATGGAGTAAATTTTGGTCCTTTGCTAGCAGTCTCTTTGCAATACCTCAAACAAAATGACTGGAAATTCAAAACCTGGTAAACGCCACGAAGAATTGCCAAGATTAAGCAGCTTTCCTTTCCATTCAACTGGAAAGCAAGGGCCTGAGAAAAAAAATCCTGTCATAAAAATAAGACCTAAATTTGGAGCAAAGTACACAAATCGTGGTTTTCAAGACGAAGGTACGTGACTCTATTTCAAGGTTGTGAAATTGACTCAAAGAATTCGATTTTTTACAAGAATGTAGGCGTGGAATTTTCGTTCAATTTTTTTTTTATTTTACATGAGATCAGGCATTAAAATTTTCAGTTAGATGTGCTCAAGATTCTAGCGTTAAAATTGCAATTTGCGAGGGGAAATTTCGCAACATTGATATGTAGTTACGTTATTTCGTGGGGGAAACGAAGATATAGGCCAATGAAGCGAAGACGTTTAGGCTCTTTAGACACCACGCACGATCATAGCAACACCTAACGGCACTTTCCGCATATCGACGGTGAAACTACCAAACCACGTATCTCGTTTGCGGTGTTTAAAAATCTACGCTCGCATTTTATTTTTTTGAAGTAGACCAAATCGATATCATTCCTTGAAATTTTCATAGAATTTTCTCCGCACGAAGAGGAAAAATCACAGAAATTTTCAAGACTGGACGTTAAGTAGTTTTTCATTTAAAAAATAAAGTATGACAGGAAGTCTGCGACGTCGCAAACCGAGATACGTGGTTTGGTAGTTTCACCGTCGATATGGAAATATGTATACTCATAATATGCAAGTTCGTTTCCAAAATGATTAGTTCAAAATATAGAACTTTCTATTTTAAAAAGGAAAACAATTATGGAACTAATGATGAAACTTTTAACCGGATGATGAAACACAAAAATAAAAGTAAATAGCCTGGATCGATACACTTACCCAACAACTACCGCAATTTCCCTGGTCGTAGATATGAAGAAGACTCGGACAGTAAGTCCATTTCTTTCTTGCGTCGAATTCCGCGGGTTTGTCAGCACCCGTGTGAGCAGGGTCATCGAGGGCGTTCAAAACTGGTAGACTTGGTAGATCGTTTTCCTCTGGGAGCCAGGCAGAGGCTAATTGTCTTAAGTAGCCCTCGGAGATGTCATCGGGAAAGTTTTTCCCAGCCTATACGATACCGATAAATTGATCAACAAAAAAATAGTCGCTCAAAAACTCTTTGCAAATGGATTAAATAAAACGTTGACTGGATCATTAGAATTAAGGCTAGACATTACTAGACAAACAGGTATGTAACCAAACGTAAATAGATAGTAGGATAAGAAGAAAAAGAAGGAGGAGGGGGAGGCGAGAAAAAGGAGGAGAAAAAAAGGATAAGAAAGAGGAAAATAGTCGATTTTATGCTCGAACTAGAAGGGAATTAGCAGGACAGGGCATGAGTAGCGCTGTAATTCATGCGAGTAAATTAGAGCGCCTTCAATATTTTGTATATGCAATACGGTCAGTCCTTGAGCACGAATAGTTGCATCCAGGCGCTACGATCAGCGACCAACTTCGTAATCATATAAAACGGCACATCATTAATCGAACGTTGTCAGATTTTCCTGAAAATGCGTGAGCGCTTTCTTCCTACATTTATCAGAGAATTTTTTTCGTAATTTAATTTGGTATTTCAGTAGATTTCAAAAAAAATGCTTGACATTTTCAAAATACATTGAATCGACGGCATGCACCCTTTAGAATGTTTATCCATTTATTTTTGGAGCAGCAGAGAGTTGTCGATTGAAGAGTGTATTGTGAGAAAGTGTAGTCACATTTATAAGAAAATAATCAAAATTGAAATGGATTTATACCGTATTTTGCTTTGACACTCCGAGGAAAATAAAGAAAAATGCCTCCAAAATTAAATATTTACGCGCTACACATGTACTCTTTTTTGTAATCTCACTCGCGTGCATTTGTTTCTCTTTTTATCAAAAAGCCAGCTTTGAATTCGTTACCCTGCTTACATCAGTCTATCTACCTATTAAGATCAATGCTTCTGCTCGAGGCTCCAGTCCTTTGCACTGTTGCCATATCTAAAGAAACGCCACCCTTTACTATCAACCAATAAAAGGCCTCCACCTCAGTGTGGTGTTACGAACCACACCAGAAGCAGCTGCACTGCTGTCCATTTACATCATTGTAACGATGAAATCCGTGTATGGTAAAATGTTATTCTTTAGTGCGTTAATTTTTCTCATTTATATTCTTTAGTGTGCAGGCTCACAATGTTCAAGATGGTATTGTTTATATTCGCGGTTTCAACGTTTTTCCTTTAAATGTTATCCCATCGTATTTCCAGTATATTTTTTTAAAGGATTCATCGTATAATCATCATTTTTAATGCGGATGTGAGCCTATTTCTTTCATATAGATCCGAAAAAAGACATCCCCGTACCATGTTTTTGTGTTTAATTTTCAGAAAAAATAAAATTTCACTAATTTATTTGTCACGTTGCTCATAGTTAATAATGGCTCGTAATTGAAGTTTATGTGACCTTGCACATGTGAAAATAATTTTGTCATGGAAAAACCCCCATCAATTATTCACAAGAAGTGCTATTGGACTGCTCTTCTTTCGAGAGTTGTTCTTGTTAGAATTGTGAATCATTCATTAATTTTACATAAGTTAAAGAAGTAAGTTACATTATTTTCAGATCATTAATTTCACTTCTTCTTAAAATTGTGTACTGATGTAACAAATGTTTCTCACCGTCCACGATGACTGAACTTGGTTGATGTAATCGATCATCGCATCCTGATTTTTAAGACTATAACCTTCCGAGTGTCCGGAAACAATATCCATTGCCGACGCTGGAAGAAAGCTGAAAGCCCCCCAAAAAAAGAAGACCTCCCACAAGGACGGAAGATAACTAGCGGGGTTTGAAACTGCATAATTTCTTTCGAATTCACTAAAAACAGCACATCATAATTCGTTTCGGTTTTGAAAGATCATAATTTTGTGTCAGTAAATTATACCGATCTAAAAAAAAAGATTTTTCGATTACTTATCTGATGATGATACATGTCTTTGCGATTGAACATGAAAATCGGAATGTACCTAGTATGAGAATAAATGAAAAACACAGACAAACTGTAAAAAATTAGTTTGACTTAGGGCATTTTACTGTCACCCAACAACGATATTCCTGGATCCAAAGATGCCTTCATTTGCTGGGAGTGACTTATAAACTTATTATTTCTTAAATGTTATTAAATTTATTATGTCCTCAATATCTCTGGATCACTGGATTGGAGGAGGAAATATAAGTGCGTACTTTTTTGTATGGCATGGTTTCAACTCTCCTCAAATATTTTTAAAATGAGCACAATTTTTGTTCTGGTTCTCCAGAAGTCATATATTTATATCTTAAACTGTAAAATTCGTCGCCTTCCTGACATAAAGGCGTAACTACACTCGACGATGAGCCCTGTTGTCCATGTAACTCAGTGCTTTCTCAGGCTCATTTCAAATTGTAGTTACGCCCTTTTGTCAGCCAAGCGACGAATTGTATATGTATCTTCAACTTAATTAGAGCCCATTTATTCATTGACATAATTGCAAGTTTTATATCGAACACGTACTACATACATGAGAGCTACGAGTATAACAAACCTACCAAAAACACATCGCTCTTGGATTTAACCTCCTCCAAGAGTATTTGCAGTCAACTAACGAAATTCGAACCGAGGACGAAAAACTCACCTACGTCTATGCAAAATCAATTTACGTAGTCTAGATGTGTGAACATTGGCAGGATCAATTTGTTCAAACTTCGCAAATTCATGAAGAGTTTTGGCTCTTAAAATGAAAGCAGCCAACACATGATCGTTAATTTGCAATGTTAGCTAATTTGATCTAGAGCAATAAATCTGTTGAAAAAATGGATATCGTTGAAAGCCAAGTCTCTCATACACGTCATGAGGGAGCTCCGTTGTTTTTCCGTACCTGCTCTCGAATGAGCCGATCTCACAAAAAATGGTACATTAATCAAGTGTAACCTAGATTGTGTAGTGCCTAAAAACAGAGATTCGACATTTCCTATGCAGACCTTTTTGATGAAGATGGGTGAGTTTGTAGCTTGTGATTTAAAGCGCAAGATGCATACGTAATCAATGACGTCATCTCTTTTGATCACAACTTAGCCAGAAATGCATTTCTAATGTTGAATGAGAATTAATTGAAATCATGTTAATGAATCATGCAAATTAGAAAAACATTCTTTACCGAGACGTTCATTATAAAACGTTCAGTATTTTTTGTTCCTATAAACCAATTTTTTTTCTCCTTGAAAGAGGGAAGAAGGCCAAAAAGGAGGGATCCGATTAACCATTTGGAGAATCAAATGACACGCTCCTATCACGTAACATAAACTCAAAGTATGAGGAATTCACCAATAAGTTCCTTTCAGCAAACCTAAGTTTAACTACTTTTCTTGGTCGGAAAACACGTAATTCCATTCCGGCGCTTCAAAAGTTGCACCCATTTTAAATTTATTGAGAAGAAATTGACCGTATTTATGTTTCTTTTTCCTCCTTTATCGGGATGTATCAGCATAGTGCTCACTTTTCCTTTTTCGTCCGATGTGAAAAGAAAAGAAATTGACCGTTAAATTTTTTTTAAAAAAATTTGAATATAGGTGAACAACGTCAAATGATTAAGACTTAATCTAATTAACCTAGATTTTGAGATTAGATGATCCTTTGAAAAATAATCGGTAGGGGACTTTTTCTACTTTACATAGCTTGTAACTTTCTGGGTCAAGATAGGAACAAACACGCCATCACTTTTGCGATATCAATAAGTGATTTCATGGTCGAGCCAATATAATTGGTCTCATGTTGCTAAATGTAGCTCAGTCATAATTAAATTGTATCAAAATTTTGAAAACTTTTTATTTGAGAGAAGGAGGAGGGTTTAATTTTGGGTGTAATAATAACACTTTCTTTTTTTCGTATCAACTTTTATTATCCTTTTTTTCACTTAATTATTGATTTTTTTTTTTTTTAATGTAAGAGAAAGTTTAAATATGCATGGCTCTGCGAAAAGTCCGAAAGGCGTTTATGCAGATATAGCTCGTGGAGCAGTGGTGCGATTATGATATTTTCGGTTCAGTTGCGTCAAAACCTTCCTCTTCACTTGAACATTCATTCGCGAAACTCTTTATTCTGAAGGTTCCGTGGTCTCCCCATTCGGGATTCCAGGAATTGGTGGCCAGCCAGTAGCCGTTGCCGTAACCGACTATCCTTACAGCATGCCAGCCCATTGATTTGCCAGTTGTATGGTGGTATATACCTGGAAAAATCCATAAAAGTTTCGTTCTCTCATTATATGGTTGGAGTGAATCCTTATTTCTTAGATACCTTCCCATCATATTTTCGTTCATAAAATTCTGAGTTTCACAACAAAAAGTTATCTACGAACCCGTCTCTCGGGTACTTATTACTTCTAAAAATCACTTTTATACTTATAAAATCTAGGTTTGTCGAATAGGTGCCGTCAAGAATAGGGTCCCCCCCCCCCCGAAATATTGTGACAAAAGACGGTCACCACTTGCAGTTTCGCGTGAAACTTTGTAAAAGGGCAATTCATGTGTATCAATTAAACGTATTTATGCTAAAAGGAGCTATGTGAGATGAACTATAAAATAAAAAAGAACTAGTAATGATACACACCAATACTATGCACATAGTTCTTTTTTATTTCATTCATTTTCTCACAATTCTTTTTAGCATAAATACATCCAAATTTTATCTTCGCCGTAGTATAATTTTCCGAATATTTTTCCGAATTGTTTAAGCTCGACACTTGCGGATCCAGCAAGTCGGCAACATTGCTTGCGTCCATTTAAACCTAAGGAAATATATCGATTCTCGGGAGAACCAGGTGTGCAAAGATCGATTATTCAACACAGGTTTAAACGAAGGAAAGCCATAAAGTTACCGATCTACTTAATCCGCTTCTGTTTCTCGAAAATACGATAATGTTTGATGCAGATAGTGATAAGCTTAAAACAATGTTTTACCTGTTTTATACAGATAGAAGTCCTCGAAGACCTCAAAAGCCATTACAACCGGGCCGAGTGTAAACAGCTCCTTTTTGAGATCAGCAGGTTTTACTGTGTAAACTCGTTTCCCTAGAACGAATTAATATTATTATTTCAGAAAATTTCAAAATATTATTAATTTTATGACTGATAATACTGACGAATAATTATATTCCATTATTGAGTTCAGGAAATTTCAAAATATTCATAATTGTGAGACTGATAATTCTCATAGATAATTAAATTCCACAACTGTAGATTAGGAAAGTATCGCCTTCACATATATAAGAGTATTTTATCCTTTTTTAAACTTGGAAACTGCACAGGGCTGTTGTCAGAACCAATAGCATGGGAAGGGGGGGGGGGCAAAGGGGGGGGGCAAAGATGGAGGGTGAAATCGTACATCGAGGTGGTGGATGTTTTCTCATAAGTATACATTGATTTAAGCATAAGTTATAGTATACGTCAATTTAAGCATTAGAATGCTCTTTAACATTTAATGCGAGTTAAATCATTTAGAAGTTATGGCCTAAAAGAAATCGTAATTTCACAGAAGCGATTTCAGTGGAAAGTACACTTTTTGTTTTTCACTTAGTTCTCAAAACTAAAAGTTGTAAGAAAATCATTCTTATGTACTTTGAACACTTGATGAAATTTTGAAGAGGAAAAATGGAGTTTTCAAGTTAGTTCCTTTGGTTTTCACCCAATTTTAAGTATGGTTTACTCACCGAAATGTTTGTCCTTGGTAAACGCAATCTTATAGTTTGTATTAGGGCACTTCGTCAAGCATTTTGGGACCACTGTTTCGTTGTAACTGTGACAATCCGGATATTTTCCATTTTTACCCATGTGGTGAGAGCAACCCTTTATCTCGTACGGCATGCACCCCTACACATTTTTCTGTATTTATTAAATTAATTCAGGCAAAATGTCTCCGAATTACAATATCGCCAATCCAGATCTGTGATCATCGATTTGTGTCACTGAATAAATCTCACAGTTGCCAATACATTGCGTCTATTTTGCGTTTTAGAAGCATTTTTCCACACGATTGTTGCAACCAGCAAAATTGATGTAATTTTAACCTTCTTCGTGAATAAATTGATACTCTGTTATCAACTTTATGAACCGCTCTTCCCACTTTCTGTATCAATGCTAAATAAAGTCATTTTGTCTTAACGCTCATTAATCTCCTCCTCAGAGAACACAGTGAAAGAAACACGGGTTGACAGGTATTGGTTTGAGCAAAAATGTATCCAACGAAAATGCTATTCTAAAATGGACTACATTCTGCAATTAGGAATCATAATTTCTGGCTCAGTTCATGAACAACGTATGTACCATTCGTTTCCCTATGCACATAAGTGTTTTTACAGTTGAGCCGGAAATTATAGTTCCGAATTACAAAATGTAGACCATTTGTAAAGATGTTGATGTTCAAGATGCAGGATTATCAACAGGAGGTCCGATGACGCCATCAACAAGTGCCTCGTTGACGTCACGAACGGATCTCCCGGTGATGTTATCAACTTGAGTGCTAATGACGTCATCAACCGAAAAAGGCCGTATATAAGTTAAAATATCTTAAATTTTCCGAATGAATTCGAGAAGCAAACGGGTGCTTGCGCCAAATGCCACTGGGGGACTGAGGGCGGGGAAGAAAGTAGCAGGCAGAAGGAAATCAAAATCTCCTTAAAAGAAATTGATACGTTTTAAAGAAAATATTGTTCTCTCTTTTATCACTTCAGAGTGCCGCTCATATACCAAGCCTTTTAAAATGAGTGTTATCATATTTTTCATAAATAGAGCCTTAAAGAATTTCATGGAATATTCCTCGGGAATTCAAGTATTATTCATTCTTTTTTTCACTTCATGCAAAACACTTTTTACCTTATTTGTGCCAAAGTCTCCTCCTGTAACTAGACCAATTTTTACGTAGTGTTCGAAAGCTTTAAAGGGCGAGCCCCCATTACAGCCTTCACCGCATTTGTTCTCCACGCAGCAAGATGCAATGTCCCACGCTGAAATAGTGTCTTTGAAGGCACCGTTAGTGGTAATGCAAATTCTATCCGTTATCACGGCCGCCGAGCATACTGCCTGTAAAAAATGAAAAAATAATGAATTTGAATTGCTACTTTATTTGAAACCTTGTCACTTAAACACGTGTACTGTCGCGTTTCAAACGTGAAGAGATTGAAGAATCCCATGAACCTGTGAATTATGTGGCAAAATGTTATTTTATGGTTCCTGTTGAAACTTGCAACTACAACAAGGCATTGGACATTGCTGGGTCAAGATTTTTTCGTTTTGACAATCCATTCTTTAATTTTTAATCGAAGAAAATTTAAAGTTCCGTCAATCATAAAATGTCATGCAACTAGTTGACCAAAGGAAGAAAAAATGCCGTAAAATGACAGGACTCGTTTGTGAGAAAATTGATGAATATTTATTGCAATATTGCTTCATATCGATGGCTCAGTGGCGTGGCGTGAATGATCGATCAACGATATTTCTCCATTTGAAGCTATGGTAAAGAATCAATTATCAAGGTGTTCGCAGCGAACACCTTGATAATCGATCCTTTTCCATAGATTTAAATTGCAGATCAATCGATGTATCGCAAAGTACGCCACGCCACTGCGATGACTGAAGTGCAAAACCACGCATATCTCATTGCGGGGTTTCAAAACGCGACTTTTTTATTGTTTAGACGAGAAACGATCCAACTTAAAGCCTGAACTTTGCCCAGAACATTCTCCTAGTAGAGGAGAAACATATGGTGAAGCACATTAATCTCGGATCTTTGTGGCATTCAATAGTTTTATTTTCCAAAGTCCCCAGTCGTCACCAAAATGTTAGAGGCAGGGTCTCGATTTCCCTCTACCCTTATCCCAACCACACTGGGGTAGTATACGTACCCAACAACTCCCGCAGTTGCCTTGGTCGTAAATATGAGAAATACTGGCGCAATTGCTCCATTTTTTCCTGGCGTCAAACTCAGCCGGTGGATCAGCGCCTGAGTAAGGTTCTTCGACCTTATCCTCCGACTCGTTCCAAACGGGTGATCTCGATAAATCTTCTTCCGATTTACGGTGAGCCACCGCAAGTTGCTTCAAGTAACTTTCAGGCACGCCGTCGGGGAAATTTTTTCCTGCCTACGTAACAGCAAAAAATGTACAGGAGAGGTATGATCTCACCTTTGACCGATGGATCAGGGTCCGAATTTCGTTGGCCAAGGTCGACTGCAAGTCGCGAAACCTAACCTCTAGATTCGGGTTTAAGGTTAGAAAATTATACTGTTTAAGCTGTACGTAGCTCCTTGTTGTAGGAGGTTCGAGCCATCCTTAGTTCCTCAAAGGTGCAAACTCTAAATCCACGATCCAATAAGAAGTCGACTTATTACCTCAATTTGCGGCCTACCGCAAATCTGTCAACAAAATTCGGGCCCAGTTCTATTGAGCACAATTATGGTGTTGACTTTTAAAAGATGGGGTGATCCGTAAAAATTAACGATAAAAACAACGAGCATTAAGGCCTCTTTAATCGTCGCAGAGATTTGTTTGTAGCGTATTTGTTTCATAATGTGCATTTTATCTAACTCGCTCTGGAAATCAAGATATTTCAAGTCAATAGAGATGAAACTCGAGGGTTTTTTTCATAATTTTTCATAATTTCCCACATAATTTTTAATACTTTTTTTTTCTTTCGCTTTCTGTTCCAGGTAAGAACGAATTTTGCGATCGCAATTTTGTCTGCAAGTTTTAACAATTGCACTGCTTCTAACCGCAGGTATGTCGTACCGTCATCTTTATCATAAGCAAAGTTTGTTGATAAAAAAGTCTGTTTCAGTCCCAGTGAGTGCACTATACTTATAAGGAAAGGTTACCATTTAAAGGACTAGAGTTAGTTGAAAAATTGCGGTATGAGACATTTTGAGTAAATATTGTTTATGCGCACGTTTCACGGAGAAAATAATCTAACTCGGGTCCTAAACTCGCATTACCTTGATTTTGGGTCCGCATCCGTTGTAAATTCGCAGGGCCATAGATTTAAGCAGGCCAAAGGCACTTACCCAAAATCTGACTGACGCCACTTGCTCTATTCCTCTCAGCACGAGTGTATTCAAGCACTAGTTTTCTATTTTAACCACCCTTTTAAGTTTACATTTTCTTTAGGTATGATGGAAACTTTTATTACCGTCCAAGACGACTGGACTCTGTTGATATAGTCGATCATAGCGTCCTGATTTTTGAGACTAAGAGTTTCGGGATCGACTGACATAACTTCTCTTGCTGACACTGGAGTACTCGCTAATAGAGTGAACATTCCCAAAAGCGTAATGGCCTTAAATAATTTCCACAGATAAATTGGTGGTCTCAAAACTGTATATCCTATGAAGACTTCACTGAAAGGAAAAAAAAATACATTTTTGTGTTGAAAAACGTGTATTGGTGTAAATTGTAAAACATGTTGCGCTTAATGTAAGTTTCTCTACTTCTAAACATCAAATTCTTCCTGAGTGCAATAAAGCCAGTGGAAACTTCCATAAAGTGTAAAAGAAAAATGGGGTTTTGTTTGGGTAGATATTCGTGTAGTTTCAAATCGAGATCACTGTCACTATCAACATATCGATGAAGCATCCTCTACTTTTGTCTGCATATAATTCAATAGATCCCTCCGATGGTTTAACCCATCAGGAGATTTTTGTTTTTAGTCGGGGGAGGAAAGGTCTCTTTTGTAAGATTTTCAATTTTTCGTTTTCATTTTAGACTAATGAAGAATCCATTTTATGGTTGTATGCAAAATCTTCAGTTTTATTACGGATAGTTTTACTCATCAATATAAATTTCAAGTCACATAAATTACGCACTATTCAAAACCTACCGGGAATGAATCATTCTGGCAAAATTTCGGTGAAATACTCCTTTTCACTGCAAAGTACCGTATAAGTATCGGAATCTAAGGCCAATAAATCACCAACTAGACCTTAAGATAATTGATGATTCTAATCCAGATTTACGCCATTTCAGCACAAATTGTCATAAACTTGTTTAAATTGCAGGTTCGAAGAGAGGATCGTTCTCGCGTTGGACCCTCTCTCGGAGAAATACACGACAAACAAGCATCAGTCCGCGAATAAAGGTGTACCAAAAAGCATGTATCTGTAAAAAATTGAGACGATTCAGTGACAAATCATGTGGAAGTGCATACTGTGGGTTCCTCTCATTGCTCTGACTGAAAAGTAAGCGATAAATCAAGAAATCATTAACCAATCAAGGAAAGTCAGAATTACGTACCAACGTAGTATTCGACATTTTCCGTGTAATCAATGGAGAATTTACACGCAAATTTTTTATTGCTTCATCTTAGAGTGCTTAAAGAGCTGATTTCGCAGTATTTTTTCAATTTTGCTCTGCTATGGGAAATAGCATCAAAATAGATTTAAAAGTGAAAAAATGCAACGCTTAGTGACGTCATCAGGCCACAATTCCCATTTAAACACATGTATTTAGGTGGATCAGATAATTTTGCCACATCTTATCCTATAGTTGGACTATTTATGCTAAAAGGAACTATTTCACATGCAAACCATATGTACATCGTTCATTTTAGTATAAATACGTCCAATTGTTCAATGTTCAATTGTTCAATTTATGAACCAAGGGTATTCTTGTGTTCAGTTCACTCGGTGGGTTCCACTAAAACGCAAAATTCGTCAAATTTTAGGCGCTTGCAAATTCTTCATTGGGTTCTAAATTCTGTTAGGTACCTGTTTGGAACCACGCTGACATAAAAATAAGACTACCACGAGGGTGCTAGTCTAGAAATGCAGGGAATAAGCTATATTCAACATTCTTATTTGATTTCGCGGAATGGACCACCAGACAAAGTATTAACCAAAGCACTATACGGCCGTGCTAAGGAAGAACTCCGTGTGAACATTCGAGAGTTGCCAAATTTCCTCTGAAGACATATTTATTTCTGAGGTTAGTTTTGAATATTTTCCCCTGAAATTTTCAGAATATTTAGGCCATATTCTGAACAAAATTAACTGAGAAATTGAGGAGCGTTCCGGAAAAGGGGCACATACGCGTATGTGCCCTTTTTCCGGAAATGGCAGAAACGGATTCCTCGCATCCTAATGTACCAAGGTCCCAAGTTTTGGCTGTTTTTAAAACGCCTTCAAATACGGCGTGATACCTCACGCATTCCGGAGAGTTCAATTAGTTGTATCATTGCGCCGTTAGAATGTGACGGGAGATTACAATTACAATAGCCTTCGTGCACGCTGGGCTTGTCGATTTCCTTCGACATTTTTGCAGTGGTGAATGCATAGCTGAATTGCGCTCCAGCTAGAATTGTATTTATAGCAAATGTTTGATTTTTATACGAGGATTAAAAATAAACAAGTGGTTAGAAATGAAAACAATATAATATGAACTATGCAAAACGATAATCCGGGTATCGGAACTTGGCTGTTTTTAAAACGCTTTCAAATGCGGCGTGATACCTCACACATTCCGGAGAGTTCAAATAGTTCTATCATTGCGCCGTAAGAATGTGACGGAAGATTACACTTACAATAGCCTTCATGTACGCTGGGGTCGCTGGGCTTGTCGATTTCCTTCAACATTTTTGTAGTTGTGAATGCATAGCTGAATTGCGCTGCAGCTAGAATTGAAGAGCATTCCGGAAAAGGGCAAATACGCGTATGTGCCATTTTTCCGGAAATGACAGAAACGGATTCCTCGCATCCTAATGTACCAATGTCCCGAGTTTCAGCTTAATTGATCAATTTTTGGAGCTAAGAGACCAAATTTTGTGAGGCTAAGTCAGGCGTATTTCATCTATTTGCCCCTGGGTACGGTCGCCGCGACGCGACGTTGAGGAGATTGCGCGCAGGGCGCAGGCAGGCAGGCAGGTGATTGGTACTGATATAAGTAAGGATCCCTCAATACAGATGCATCGCACTGATTCTACTAATGATCGCAATATCATCGGGTTGCACTGATTGTCTACGCGTTGCACCGGTGACACGTGAAATTTTTTAATTATTAATGATTCAATTGGTAATGGTCTCTTGTGGGTTTGAATTTTTCGTTTTTTTCGCGTGTTTTGCCCTCTTTTTTATTAACGATGATCGAAAATGATCCACCCGCACGTTCGCGATCGAAATTATGATTCATTTTCGTTTAGAAACTCGTTAAAGTCTTGAAATTTTAGTTTTGAAAGCCAAAACCTATAACCACCGGTCCATTTCCGGAAAAAGGGCACATAACGGAAAATTTTGAAAAAATCCTCCCACAACACGGAAAGAAGTGTAAGTTTTACCAATGGTCGTCATTCATCCTAGAGTGTATGAACGTTGATATGAGTGCCCCAGTTCCGATGCATGTCATAATCAGTGCCCAGAAAGTACGAATGAAAACTTCAAATGAGTTTTTCTCACAACTTGTTTTTTCGGTATGTGCCCTTTTTCCGGAAAGCTCCCCAATTGGTAGGCAAATATTCATAAATTTTCTTGAAAATTAGTGATTCGTCACGGGAAGTCCAGCAACGCCTGAAGGCTCATACGGCGTTTTCCCCTAGCACGGCAGTATCTACCCCTCTTTTTCTTCAAAATCTAACGAGAAAAACGAATCGCACAACAGGGAGTCTGTTAATCAACTTCTGAACAAGATACAGACGTTCACATTTATCAATAGTTTAATGGCAAAAATACAAATGACATAATTTGTATAATCTAACCTCAATCTTATTTGTGTTAAAAATGTACTTGTTAATATCTCATTCGAGAGCTGATTTCCGAGCATCCCGTTGCACAGTGGAACGAGTCAATAGGATAGGTCGGACAACATTTGGAAACTTTAAACGCTTATAACTCCGTTTTTACAAAATTTTGAGGTTATAAAAGTGATCCCATTGGTTTTTTCGTGAAAGTTTCTTTAAGCGGCATCCCTCAAAATTTAAAATGTGGAGAATTAAAGATCAAAATTTGCAGTTTTAGTAAAGAATTTCAAGTCCGACCTCTCTGACTGACTCGATCCACTGTGCGTTGTAAGAATTGTTTTCTACGTAAGGTTTTGTAGAGAAAGCATGTAACGTTTTCATCCAGTTTAGACTTTGTCTGGTCGCCTATTCTTTTCATCCATCGATTATGAAGGATTTATCGCAGAAACAACTTATGAGTTTTGCAGCACTGATCAGATTGTGCAACTTTTTGCGTTCTTCAAAAACGTCCTATGGCTTCTCTTCAACATCTTACGTAGGAAACGAATCACACAATGAGAAGTTTAGAGATCACCTTAATAAGGTATTAATAGTAAGTATTTTCAGCACCGATAAAATGACAGTTAGATTAAACAAATGACGTCATTTGTAGTGTTGCCATTTAACCAACGGAAATTGTAAACATTCATATACCCTGTTTTGGGGTAGATTCCAAGACTTCCTTCCCTTTGTCTGATTTGTTCCCTGAATGTTTTGAGGAGAAAATATCTTATCTAGCATTTCACGAAAAATTGCGTTTACGTGGTGATTTCATATGATAATGGGGCTCTCGTATGATCCTGGAGTTGCTCAATAAAAGGGTGGAACATTTGCAAATTTTAGCGAGGAACACGTTTTCGAGCTTAAAAAAGCTCGAAACATCGTTTTTGATTGACTAAAAGGAGCTTAAAGTTGTGATGATGAGTAGAGCGTTTCTCATTGCGGCTTTATCCTTATGACGTCATAAAAGGTTTACGGGTAAAAATGGGAGGGGGGAGGGATAATACGGGTGTAATGAGGCTTATTTATCATGGCCACTGTACGACCGGAATGTATATAAACAATCGCAAGTGAGAGTATCATGGTGGTCTATGATCCTTGTGACGTCACGAAATCTGTTAGCGCGATATTCTTCCGTTTTAAAATGAACTTTCGGCAATTGAAAAGTCGTTTTCCCGACTAAAATTTGATTAAATGAAAAAAAGATAAAATATGGGTTCCCTCATTTTTTATGTTTTTAACAAAACTGAATTGAGAAAAAAATGTGCAACAGCCACATTATAAGGATATAGTCCCTACCTGAGAAATTCTGTTATTGGCTACGATTCGAATATTTTAACGAGGTTTAGCCGACGAATGATTTTTCACTCATTTTTTAGAGTGTTAGCGAGAATCTCAGTCGGGGAGAGTTCAGTGTGGACAATGAGTCCCTGCCTAGATAGCCTCCGACCCTATCTATAACTGATAAGTTTCATGAGACGGATGAGTTTGCAACTGCAATGTGCAATGCACACAATACATACGTAATTGTTGAAGTTATGTCTTCTATTGCAATTCTGTAAAAATGCATTTTTTATGATTTTGTGAATGATGAAAAAAAGAGAGACGGTTTTTATTAGTTTATATTCATTACACATTTATTAATCCTTGTTCAAATGGGTATGGATCAACATATTTTCTGGAGAGGGGTCAGGAGAAAGATTTTTTCCGTCAGAAAGTTAAATGACAAAATCTTATCACAACACAAATCGAAAATGCAAGGAGTATCCTGATACATGATTTGAACGAACTTAAGTCAAAATTAAACATTTTCAGAACGTAAACATTTTTATTTTTGGAGGATGGTAGCTTTGGGTGGAATTATACTACTTCATCCTCCCTTTAATTTTAATTTTTATCATACTGTATTTCGATTGCAAATTGAGTACTTGAATTTAATAAAAAAACCAAAAAATGTACGTTGTGAAAATAATGTATTCCTAAGACGTGCATGATGCAGGTGTCACTCCTGAAGCATTGCTATTTCGGCTCAGCTGTGTCAAAACCATACTTCGATTCACACGAACATTCATCGACGAAGCTTTTTATTTTGAATGTCCCGTGGTCTCCCCATTCTGGATTCCAGGAATTGAGAGCTAACCAGTAGCCGTTGCCGTAACCGACTATCCTTACAGCATGCCAGCTCATTGATTTACCAGTCGTATGGTGGTATATCCCTGAAAAAATCCACACCAATTCAGTTTTCTTTTAAATTTTAAGGAAAATCAGTTTGACATCTTTGTAACAGTCTCACAAAATTGAAACAAAAAACTCTTAAAGAATACTTTAAAATGGGAGCCAGCGCGAAACTCTTCCAAAATGTTATAACGCGTAATTTTACACGATTTTCAGCGCAAATTGGGTAGTCATACCTTTTTTGTCCAAGAGATATTGAGATAGAAAGGATTTGACTTAGACCTTCTCTCCCCAACGCCCTTCAACATTTGGGGAAGGAGGTCTGACATTTTAGGAAAAGATGTTCCACAACTAGGAAAATTCATAGAACATTCAAGAGTGCGGGAAATGGGGACTTAAGGTGATTCGACGGTTGCCATTTTTTGTGTTAGAGCGACGTGCGATATATCGCATCAATTCGTCCCAGAATTTCGACTACTTGTCATTTTTTATGAATTTTGAGATCGCACTTCTGTTGTCATAAAACTACAGAATGGACCACTAGACATGGTACGAATTTCAGCATTCTGATACATGTTTCTTAGCCAAAATTTCACGTGAAACACGATGCGCACAACAAAAATTACCAAAATCAACTCCTTACAAAGATTTTGAATGATTCCTGATGCGTGAATTCAAACCACCCGCTCATGAAAACTCAATGCTCTACGTGATTCACATCGCGCGCTAAACGTTATCATGACAGTCTCTACGATATACAAATCTAGCAACCTCAATCTTGACGCTTTGGCTCAGCTATAGCAAATTGCTTATAGTTTAAACAACACATGGTGGGAAATGAGCATTGCTCGATTGAGAAGCTTGCTGAAACCGTTGTAGTGCGCGATTTGACTCAAGTAGAGCTTTGAGTTTCTTGTGAGCGGGCAGTTCAAATTCCTCGTAACCAATGTGAAAAAAAAACGTTAATATCTTCCTTAGGAGTTGGTTTCAGTGATTTTCGTTGTGCGAATTGTGTTTTACGTAAAATTCTGGTTAAAAAACTTGTATCAGAATACTTGTACTCGTACCTTGTCTAGTGGTCCATTCATGTACCAAATTTGACAAAGAAATTCAACGTATTAAAGGCAGGGTTTTTTCAGAGGAAAAATATCGCATATTCGAGTGCAGTTTTGATATCAGTATCGAATGCTATATTTTTCCTCTGAAAAAAGCCTGCTTTTAATACGTTGAATTTCTTTGACAAATTAGGTACATGAATTCTGTAGTCTTCTGACAACAGAGGTGCGAACTCAAAATTCGTAAAAAATGACAATTAGCCGAAATTATGGGACGAATTGATGCGATATATCGCACGTCGCTCTAACACAAAAAATGGCAACCGTCGAATCACCTTAAATGTTTTGAATCGTGCTATTTTTTAGCTTCATTTTTGATGCCCTAAAGATGGGCCCAACCGACAAAAATAATTCGACTTTGAATACATCGTTCGCCGCGTTTAGAGAGATTATTCTGGTTTACAGTAAAGCACCCGCATCTTGCGTGCTACTATCATCAATTAATATATAAATAAATAAATGAGTAAAAGGTAAACCTACATGCCAAACAGTAAGTACTCGTGTCTTGGTTTACCTTTTACTTACTTTTATACAAGTAAAGTAAAAACGCATGAACAGCATTTAACTCATGTCTATTTTTAAGATTTAAATCTCACTCAGAAAATATTTTCTGTATTTAGTCCATCCCAACAGTCTGAAACATATCGATGGCTGGAGTGTGAGGCCACGTATCTCATATCTGTTTGTGACGTTGCAGACTTCCGGTATTATACTTCATTTTTCCTCGGAAAACTAGTCAACGTAATTTCTTGAAAACTTCCTTGAATTTTCTTCTCTGTTAGTGCATAAATATTCCGTATAAATTTCAAGCTTCTGAGTTGACTCGTTCCTCTTCGAAAAAATCAACTAGGAGCGGAAATTTTGGAACACCGCAACAGAGATACGTGGTGTCGCACTTGAGCCATGGATATATTGACGGCGAAAAGCAATAGGGGCGTATCTTAAATGCAAAAATTGAAGAGGACGAGGCTCTTGACCGGTGGGAAAATCATTGGCGCGGATCCAACAAATCGGCAACATTGTTATTTCCCCATTTTAACCTACGGAAATGTATCGATTCTTGGAGGGGCCAGGTGCTCCGACAAGAATCGATTATTCAACATTGGTTTAAATGGAGGAACTCCGGTGTTGCCAAATTGCTAGATCCGCCTCTGGAAAACTGGTTCAGATTGAATAAGCTCTTTTTCGTCTTGGCCTACAAGTCTCGATTTTGGAAGTTTGAAACAATTTTTTACCTGTTTTATACAGGTAGAAGTCTTCAAATACCTCAAAAGCCATCACAACCGGACCATAAGTACTTAGCTCTTTTTTGAGATCAGCAGCCTTTACATTGTATGCGCGTTTTCCTGGAATTAGTTACTACTAATAGGTAAAACGGTTCCTAATTTTTAACAATTGAGAGGCTCGAAGGACAATGCGCATGAGTGCAGTATTTGGTGTTTCGAAAAATACATATTTGAAGTTTCGAAATTACATGGATCCTCCCGGTGGAAAAAAAGCTCAGACTGACTTTTTGATGCCTAAAAATTGGAATTGGGAGTGAATTTTCATAGGATATGCATTATGACTGGTTTTATTTTAAATCATCAATATCTAATTTTTTTCAAAAATTGCACATATGAGCCTTGTCCTTCAAGCTCCTCAGTTTTGACACCATATCTGCTGGCGAGGAAAGTCAAGCCTTACAAGAATCGAAGCGTATGTTTTTTGGTACACATTCAAATTCTCACAAATATTACTTCAAATGATTCTAAAAGGTTTGTTCCTTAATTTTACTTGTTACGTTTCATTAAAGAGAAAGCCGAGCGTCCAAAAAAGCTTCTGTGGGTTTCCTGAGCTTTTAAATACACTAGGTAAGAAAAAAACTAAAATCTACAAGACTATAAGCTATTTTGTATTAATTTCACAAAGTTCTACAAGAAAAAAATGGAACAAGTTTTATAAATTAATTATTCTTAAACGGAGAAAATACTCGTAACTTGAGCTATGGAGTCGGCTCTTTTAACGATGCTATGCAAATTCATCTTCGTTTACAACAGTAATTAACAGCATAAATCTACTATTAATTTTACAGCATCGATTTAAGTCGAGGGTGCGGTTTTTATTCTTCACCTCATTTTTGCGATTGAATTTGCAAGAAAATAATCAAATTCTATGTAATTTGCTCAATTGATATAATCTTGTGAAAAGAAAGAAAAATTGGAACTTTCCTGGTCTGTTTCCTTCGCCCATACCTCATTTTCAGTTTGACATACTCACCAAAGTGTTTGTCCTTGGCAAACGCAATCTTATAGCCTTTATTAGGGCACGCCGTCACACATTTCGGAACCGCTGTTTCGTTGTAACTGTGGCAATCTGGAAATTTTCCATCTTTACCCATGTGGTGAGAGCAATGTTTTGCTTCGTACGGCATGCAACCCTACAAGTTCCAATGTTTTCTTCAATAATTTTGCACGAAATGTCATCGAATTATACAACGACGTCAATCGAGATTTTTGATCATAGACGAGAAAAGTATTGAATAAATTTCACCGTAGCCGATGCAGAGGGTCCATTCCATACGTCTCAGATAAATTTTTGCGCGGGGTTGTTGCGAATATCAATACATAGAAAATACTAACTTTCATCATGAATAAATCGATTCTTACATTGTATACCAGTCCATTTTCAATTTAATAAATCACATATTTCGCTATTTTTGTTTCTGGGAATCAATTGGAGTAAACTCTTTGAGTGCTGAATTTTTTCCTAATTGGACATTTTGAGGGAAAAAATAGGAAAATAAAAGCTGATATTAAGTGTTCGTGCTGTAGCAGCGGAAATTTTAATTGTTAATCGGTCAGTTGCGCTGGTCACAGACTCGTGTTTTGATGCTCGATTCTTGTTGGTCAACTAAAAATAATAAGAACTGTCCTAACAGCAACTTTCTACGTCACCGCGGTAGTGATACTATTGGTTACCCTTTCACCTTGCTTCCATCCAAGTTTAACGTTGAGTAACCAGTTAAAATGTGTGTCTCCATGACAAATGAAACCAAGGTCACTACCCCGGTGGATGACGTCATTAAACGAACTTTTCAAAGCGCGATATCTCTGTTAATATTGAACGTAGAAAGTTGCTGTTTAAACAGATCTTATTATTTTTAGCTGATCCACAAGAATCAAACACCAAAAAACGATTCTGAGACCAGCGCAACTGACCCATTACGAGCTTATGGTATCAAAGATATGACGTTATCAGCTGTATATTTTTTTATATTTGAGTGCGGCTTGCAAGCCTGGCCTTGTTTTTCATATGATGCACAAACCCATTCTCTTGAAAATATCATGAAATATTTCCGATGGGTAATATTTATAAAATATATAATAATGCTTCAATAATGCTTATATGCTTTTTGGAAATATTTGCGCTGATGCGCATCAACCGAAATAAGCTGGAAATAAGTTAAATATTTGAAATTTCCCGAAAGAATTCGAGAAGCAACGGGAGCTTGCCACATGCCAACGGGTGGAGAAGAAACTAGTCGGCAAAAAGAAATCTAAAACTCCTTAAAAGAAATTGATACCTAAATTTAAAGGAAGAGAATATTGTTTTTTTTTTATTATTATTTCAGAGTGCCGCTCGTATATCTAGCCTTTTAAAATGGGTGATATCATATTTTACAAGAATAAATCCTTCGCTAGTTTCATGGAATATTTCTCGGGAACTCAAGTTTTTCATTCTTTTTTTCCACACCACGCAACAAATTCGTCAAGCGAATTTTCGCGATCGGTTGAACGATGTTCGACTTCTTCGTTGGTCTCACCGGAGACCGTTGAAATCCATCAGTTTGAAATTTCGAATTCACCTCGGGACTTGAATTCGATTTTTGAATTGATGCAATCTATGTCAGAAACTTCATCTTTCACCAGAATTTTTCTTTCGTCATTTCTCTCGTTTGTCGCGTTTTGTCATTTCAAGTCTGCTGTATATGCAATTTGCTGCGTTTTAGAGTTTCATATTTTCGTATTTTCTTCTTAATTTTATTTTTAAAAAAATCTGAACTCTGATTGGCTCTTGCTTTCACCAATCATCGGCATCACTCAGCATTCATCAACTCGTTTGATGAATGATATTTAATCGCGAAAATTCGCTTTTTACCTGGTTCGTGCCAAATTCTCCTCCCGTGACCAAACCTTTTTTTACATAGTGTTGGAAAGCCTTTGCGGGGAAGCCGCCTTCACAACCAGCACCACACTTGACCTCATCCGTACAGCAAGATGCAATGTTCCATGCCGAAATAGTGCCCTGAAAGGCACCGTCAGTGGTGATGCAAATCCTTTCCGTTATGACGGACGCCGTGGATACTGCCTGAGAGTGAGCAAAAATTAATGAAATTGAAATGCTGCGTTATTTCTCAACTTAACGCTTACTCAGTCAAACTTAAGGAAGGGAAGCTTACAAATTCTGCGATCCTGTGAATTGAGTTTAAAAATATCATTTCATGTTTTCAGTCAACAGATGCGAGCACAACAAGGGTTTGACCTTAAATAAAAGCAAATATCGTGCATCTTAACCGGTTTCTTGCTTAATTTTTATCGAAGGAAACTTTGTTTATGATGAAGCACATTAATCGCAGATATCTTTGGCATTCAATAGTTTCAATTTCCAATTAGAAACATAAAAACCTCATCAAACATTACAGACCCCAATTGTCGCCAAAATGTTAAAGGAGGGCATCTATTACCCTCTATCCTTATCCGTACCACACTGGGGTAGTATACATACCCAACAGCTCCCGCAGTTGCCCTGGTCGTAAATATGAGAAATACTGGCACACTTGCTCCATTTTGTCCTGGCGTCAAACTCAGCGGGTGGATCGCCACGTGGATAAGTTACCCCGCCTTCATCCTCAGGTTCTTCCCAAACTGGTAACCTCGGCAAATCGTCTTCCGGCACGCGAAACGAAGCAAGCCGTCTCAAGTAGCTTTCAGGCGTGTCATCAGGAAAGTTTTTTCCTGCCTACGGAACAACAAAAATTACGTACAAACAGTTGATAGATCGGAACCAATTGGCGCAGACTTATCATTTTTTTTAATCGACGATACTAATCAGAAACTAATACTTCCCCTTTAAATTCCAAGTTATCGGTATTTTTATATTTACCCGGGAGCATGGTCATACCTTAATTCCTTGGTTTTCTCCTCTGATCAAGGGGTTTTGTGTTGCAGGAATAAAGGCCAGATGAAGAGATTTCCTAAATGTACAACCGCACTAAAATCCCGACGGGTACATAAAAAAAGGCCGTAATCCAATCTTTATTGCGAAATTCGTGTAGTATACAATACTTTTTTTTAAAAAAAAAATAAATAAATAAAAATGAGTCACGTCTGTGAGCAGGATTTTTTTGTCGTAATATTTCAGGTTTGCCCAGAAAAAGACGCAAGAAAATCTTGCCTTGCACCTGAAATGATCACAAAATGCAAAAAATGAATATTCTCGCAGACTTTTTCTTACGTATGAATTCAATTGTTTTCAAGTGGATGTTTCCATCTTATTCTTTATTTGGCAAAGACAAACACTGTTAATCAATTGAACTCAAATGTACCTAAGGAAAGTTCGTGAGAGTTTGCAAGATTGCTCGTTCATTTTACTCAGGTTACCTTTTTTGTCTCTCTACAAACATAGCCAGGCACTAAGAAAAACTCCATTTGCACGCGGTAAACGGTAAAAAGCGTTTTGAAAACTAAGGATATTGCGCGCTAAGGAGTCGATATCATGCTTTCTAACTACCTACCGTGGTTTTCGTATTATTTCACCTACAGAAAATCTACAAACTTGGCTGTATATCTAGCGTACAGCAGACATTAATTTCATGGTTCTTTGAATCTTGCACAGTTTGGACGGGGAGCAAATAATCAGGTATCTAATGTAGGTCTCATTGACCCTCACAGACATTTTTTGACACCGAATTTGCAGCATGACATTTAGCGTATTTTTCTAACTTTAAGCAAATATTAGAAATGCCTTATTTAATAAAATATTTTCATTTTCTGTTCCAGGTAAGCATTAATTCATGCACCACGACTTAGTCTGCAAGTCTCATCAGTCGCACTGCTTCTAACCGTCGGTATGATTTATCAACATTCAGAGGCGGATCTAGCAATTTGGCAACACCGGATTCCTCCATTTAAACCTATGCTAAATAATCGATTCTTGTCGGAGCACCTGGCTCCTCCTAGAATCGATACATTTCCAAAGGTTTATGTGAAGGAAATCCGGTGTTGCCAAATTGCTGGATCCGCCAATGTCAACATTCTTACTAAACTCCTGAAGTATTGAATTACTTAATAACAATAAAATAACATAAACTCTAATTACCGTCCACGATGACTGAACTTTATTGATATATTCGATCATTGCGTCCTGATTTTTGAGACTAAGAGTTTCAGGTTCACCCGAAATAATTTCTCTGGCTGATGCTGGAAGCAGAGTTAACATTTTCAAGAGCGAAAAAGCTTGAATAAATTTCCATAGATAAATTGTAGGTCTCAAGAATGCATATTTTCGATTGACTTCCCTGAAAAAAGAACAATTGAAATTCTCGCGTCAAACAAATTACATATGTACCTACGTGTAAAATGTAACGTTTTTGACTTGTGAATAAATGTTTTCCTACTTTCATCAATTCAATTCTTCTGGAGATGAATAAAAATCAGTAAAAATTATACCATTGAATTTGAAAATAGGATGGATTTCTAGTGGGGTGAACGAAGAAATTGTTTAGGTGAAATTTTAAATTGAAGGAATCTGTCATTTTTGAGGTGATGAAACATTCCTTATTTTTGTCTTGTCATGAAAATGGATCTTTTTCGTGGTCTGTCCGGAAGATTATTCACGGGTGAGGGGGAGAAGAGGGGTCTCATGATAAGTTCTCCGAGTTTCTTCTCATTGGGACTGGCGAGTGCGTCTTTTCTTCCCTTTAGTTACGTCCTCTTCCTTTCCTGGATGGCCAAAAATAACGCACATAAAAAAATCCGATTATCCGGAGCTGATGTCATAAGGTCCAGTTACACGATCAAATTGAACCATCAAAATGGGCCTCTCATTTGTCGCATCCTCACCTCAGGTCTTTTTCCACCAATCAGAGCTTCAGTTTGATGGCTCAATTTGATCGTGTAACTGAACTTATAAGGACTTCGGATTATCCATATTCGGATCGATTTGGCAGGGCTGTGTAGTTGACTAAGGCAGGTCGATTTGGGACTCCGGGGCACTCATTTCGGTTGAATTACTCTGTCATTTTGCAATTTTTGGAATGCTTCAACAGCTAAGATAAAAACGTGATAGAATCAAGTTAGAAAGTTCAAAAGACAGAATCTTTCTTCCAAACTTGCAATATGCGCCAATTCATTTATGTTTGCACATAATTGAATATTATTTTCTCTATCGATTATCTGGATCCTTTATCACTTGGATTAGTTCGGCACAGATGATCCGGTTAGCAAGAGCTTTGTATTTTATTATTTCCCGTGGTTATTTGAAACATATGGACGTATTCATGCTAAAAGGAACTATGTTACACACAATCCCAATGCACATAGTTCCTTTTAGCATAAATACGTTCATATTTAGTTTTATCACGGTGAGTTTCACCCCTGTGGGAGGATAGGGGACTTAGACAACGGGGAGTAGCAAAGTGCCAAAGAGCGCTGTAAAAGCGGCTTCTCTGTATGTACATACATATTTTTTTTCAAGTTTTATAAATTACGAAGTATGCCAGACCTACCGGGAACGTATCATTTCCGTAATATTTTGGTAACTCCTTCTCTTTCCTTCGTAGCCAACCGTAAATATTGGAACCAAGGACCAGGAAATTACCACTTAAACATGTAGAGAACTAGTCAGTCTTATCCAGATGTGTGTCATTTTAGCACATCTTGTAATAAACTGGCTAAAATTTTGCAGATTTGAAGATATGTTTTTTCTATCGCCTCAAGTTGGACTCCCTTCCAGCAGAATGTCTGACACAGTGCAGGTCGTTAGCTTGCGGAGTTATGCTAATAAGTACTTAAACCATGAATCAGTAAGAAATTGAAGATAATTCAGTGACAAATCATGTGCCAGCACATACTGTCACTTTCCAACACTGCTCTGACTGAAAAAAGGCAGTAAATTAAGCAATCATTACCCAATCAAAGGGAATCAGAACGACGTCCCAACTCCTATGTCTCCAGCTGAAAAATAAGCCAATAAATTAAGACAGCATAAACCAATCAAAGAGAATCGGAATTACGTACCAACTTCAATGAAAATTCAAAATGTTCAATATTTTCCATTGAAATCATAACCGCTGCTAACGGTCAAAAAACGGTGGCCAAATTTTTGCCAAATTTTGGCCAATATGTTCAAGAGTTCCGGTAATGGCCAGGTTCTGGCCATGTGATAGCTCTATGACAGTACCTGCGGCGTATTTTGCAAATTTCTCGTATCGTCAGTCTGATATCAGATATTATACAACCAATTTTTTTGCACATATGTTAACTAAGTATGTACGTAACAGTATGGTAAAATGAAGCTGGGTCCACACTATTTCGTCAGGAAAACATGGCCAAAAAGGTTCAAAAATTTTAATGAGAGTCGAAAATGTTGAGCTCTTCTGACATTGTAACTCTAGCTGGAATGTGTGAGCTCTTTGGCCTTGTTTCCCCCGCAAAATTGTGTGGTCCAAGCACTACTTTAGCACATTGTTACATTCAGTTTGCGCCACGTTTCATATTGTTTTTTTCGTGCTCACTAAAGCACGTTGAGAACGCAAATAATTCACATGATCAAAGTTGTCAATAGTGTCGAAGATTTTTTTACGTTATAATTTTTAACTCCAAGGAATACAAATTGACTTATATTAAACAACGAACTTTCTCGGTTCAGGTAACCGAAATTTTCGGTCACAGAAACCGAACTTTGACCCAGCTTATTGAAATTCGGTTTTTATGACCGACACTTTTGTTACCTGCGCTGAGAAAGGTTCGGTGCCCAAAATGAAAAGACATTCATTTGCAACCGAATTTTTCCCCTCAGTTCAGGGTTTAAACATGTATTGGCTATGGTTACACGCTCAAATTTCCATCAATTTCCGATCAAATGGTGACTGGTGCGCACCATCTACCATCAAATTTCTGCGGCCTGCAAAAATTTGATGGTAGATGATGGAGCTGTGGGGCTCATCCTTCATCTGAAATCCACACAACCGTGCTTATTTCATGCTTATTCCAATCAACACGCTGTTTTAATCAATTTTACTCATCAACCTAGATAACTCTCGACCGCCATCTTGGTCATCTTTTTGATCGGAATTTGACGGAAATTTGAGCGTGTAACCAGGCCGTAATATTATGCTTCCTCTCGGAATAATTTGATCGGTTGACAGATAGTACGTCGGTCACCTTCTACTCAGTTGCATCATAACCTCCCGTAGAGACCATGCCTCATCTACAGAACTCAGCGTCATCTGTTCCACCGTCCTTCACCTTGAGCATATTAGCAAACCTATAATGCTCACAGTGTCTCTATATCTCAGGAAGCAAAAAACCAACTTTGAACGCGAGAGTTACGATTGCATCGACGGCGGTTGATTCATGCGCTGTTTGTGCACTTGTGTTTGTTCTTGACATTGACAATGAGCGATGTTCATACATCATCTTCTGTCTTGGGAGTTGGAGAAGCGCACACAATTGGATCTAGATTTGTGAGTTTGAGGGTTTGAGTATGTGTAGGGAAATGTCCTTCAGGTGATTCGACGGACGCCATTTTTTTGTCAGAGCGACGTGCGATAAATCGCATCGATTTGTTCCATAATTTCAGCTACTTGTCATTTTTTTCAAATTTTGAGATCGCACTTTTGTTGTCATGAGACTTAAGAATTCATGTACCAACTTTGACAAAGAAATTCAACGTATTTAAGGCAGGGTTTTTAAATATATTTAAAGAACTGAGTGCAAAGAAGACTCATATGTATTTCTATGAGAGCGATTTTGCTCAGGCCAATTTCACTATTTTTCCATTTCATATTATTCTAGTATACCATAGAATCATAAGAGTAACCGCAAAACGGTCAGGGGGTTTATTTACTCCCTAATTATTACTAATTTTACAAAATTATTTTGTCGTTTTACATCAAAAATATGGTAGTAAACGCGGAGTTTAACAGAGTAAAACGGGGCTGGTTGGGTCGTAACTATAACGTAACTTATTTGATTAGATCATCGATAGCTGTAATTATTTAAAAACATCTTCGCGGTTAATTTGTTCTTTACTCTGCATGTATAATGAAACATGAGAAATCTTTAAGAAAGGATTTACGCAAATTGTAAGTTGTTTGCAATGTCCTCGTGGATTAGTTCTGTAGATGATAATGTTTTACTACAACACTCAAAATAAAAATTGTCTCATATTTCGTGTAGCAAGATTTAAATGTGTTAAATGAATAATGTTTGGTTAAGTTTTGACTTTCGGCTCAGCTGCAAAAAGAAATTCTTCACATCCACTTTCATTGGAGCCACTCTTGATTTTAAACAGTCCTTTGTCACCCCACTCTGGGTTCCAGGAGTTCGCGCACAACCAGTAATTGATACCGTTCTCTGTACCATAGCCAAGCACCCTCACAATGTGCCCTCCAACTTTTGCGCCAGTTACATGGAAGTATACTCCTGGAGAATAGAACACAAAAATTAATCATCCCACTCAAAGATTTTGACCATCGTGTAGTAGGAGTGTTCAAAATTCAATGATAATGAATCCAGATCAAGTAGTGACTGAAAGGCATCTTACACTCTTAATGATCAGAACCGTCGTTTTTCGATCAAATTAATTCTAAAACAAACATTACACGGCAAAACCAAAACATTCAAATTAATACTGCTGCATGGCATTGTATTTTACTATAACCATCAGAAATTAGATATGATGCTCGTAGCAAAAGTTTAAGTGGATACTTTTTCATCATAAAAAATTGCGCATTAGCATGGTATTCGAATACATTCATAGTTTTAAAATTGCCGTAAATCAGTTTAGCCGTTAAGTTAGATTTACTAACGACACCAGTTTCCCATGTTAAAAGCGTTCGAAGCAATGAATAATAGTTAAGCCAATTATTTACCGGATTTATAAAGACGGAAATCTTCATTTACGTTGAACCACATTGTGACAGGACCTTTTTCACTCAATTCCTTCTTTAGATTTGCAACTTTTACTGCATAAGAACGTTTACCTGTTAAAAAATAACAATCAGCGTTGATTTTGTGGTTGACGTTACGTAAAATCATGCCGTCCACACATCCACCATACGAAAGATCTTTGTTTCACTGAGAGAAAAAACTGTGTAATCACTTGAACATAAGTGTTGTGTATCACTACAGCTAAAATATTCTTGTCTTATTCATGTGATCTGTTTTGAATGCGGTAAGGACAAAGTAGCATCATCTTTGCTACATTGCTATACACGTACGATTCACTTCCGATATATTGCCTAATTCAAATCAAGAGTTTATTTTGCTGTTTACGTTTAGTTGTTGTAAGTTATACTAACCAAAATGTCGGTCCTTGTCCATGGATATTTTGTAGTTCGGGTTGATGCACTGCTTTTGACAGGTCGGAAGAACTGTATTGTTATATGAGCGGCAGTCTGGATATTTTCCTACCACGTGATGAGAGCAAGGTTTAACCATATACGGCATACAGCCCTGTAACGCAGACGACGTAAAATATTTCACTAAATTGACGATTTTTCTATGGTGATCATTTATTTTCCAAATCTCCGATAGTCAACTCATTCTGGAGTTTTGTACGTCACCGAGTCCAAAATTTGACAAAGGAAAGGTAGAAAGATCTTAATGTACATCCCAAGTAATGATTGTAAATCGTTTTGCCTTTCGATTTACTTTGGGGGGGGGGTGTTGTTAAAAACAAATTACTATCGAGGTTAATATTTTCTAGATAATTGCCCTGTTTTCGAGGTGGTAGCAAATCTTTGAACGAAAGTACCGTATAGAATCACCATAAAAAAATTGTCAGCTTTCATATGATTTGCCTAGGATCTGACGAATAATATTTTGACTTCCGAAATAGCATAAAACCACGTCTACCTGAAATTCATCTGCAACTGCTCACCGTGTGTTTTGTATCTAAAACACCTACCAAAACGATTAAGTAACATATTGACTGTCGAACATTTTCTCACCTCATTGCTACCAAATTCACCACCGGTTACCACTCCGTGCTTCACGTAGAATTCAAAAGCTTTGCTGGCATAACCTCCAAAACACCCGGTACCGCACTCATCTTCTACACAGCAGGACGCAATCTCCCATGATGAGATCCAGTCGTTCGAGGCACCCTTAGTATTGATGCATATTCTGTCAGTGATCACGGAGGCCACGGCAACAGCCTAAAAACAGACGTTTTACTTGTCTTATTTTTGACTTTTTAACTAAAATTATCATACATCCAGATCATAAGCAATTAGCAATTGCAAGAATTTGCAAGTCACTAAATAGTCATACAACGAGAAAAAGCTATGGTTAAAAGTAAACCTAATCAAAGGAGCTCCACATGAATTCTAAATCCGTAATGACTATAATTAGTAATAGTGGCTATATTTTTACCATTAAGTAATGACTTTACTGACGTGATGGTAAAAATATCAATACGGCAGGTTATTACTGATACAAACCAAGAGCGAACCGAAACAGCACTAATGTAGTGCTCTCAACCATAGTTTTCTCAAGGCAAAATCCAGAATGAAAGGAAAATGATAACATCATCAGCCCTTTGGCTTAAATTGATAAAACGTGCACCTTGTTTCTGCTGGAGTTAGTAGAAACTGCTGGTACATTCGCTTGAGTGTGAATTGAGATAGCTGTGAACTGCATAGTTAAATTTGGGTCGGATGGGCAACTAAACTAACTCTAAAGCCAGACACAGAGTATCACGGAACACAGAAGGGGCTCCAAATTGAGATCTCTTGCTTTAGAAGTCGTTTATCAATGAAGCCTGCCTTAACTGCTGAAAATTGTCTCGATTTTCGAGGCAGATTGCAATCGCCAGAAATGTTCTCAGCTCACACCTTCTCAACACAGAATTATTTTCTTCACATCTACCACTTCTAGCATCTGAACATAAAATTCTCCTCATCTACTCTTAATATGGCTGGTAGCACCTTGGACTTACACTCACATGCTTCCTCACTGAATATGAGTGTGATATGTATTGAAATTAAAAAAACACCGCTTGCCGTTCTCAGCGAAATGATTATTTTGATGGTTAAAATGATTAATCCATCAATGACTCTTACCCAACAAGATCCACAATTTCCTTGGTCGTAGACATGAGAGACACTCGGGCAGTTGGCCCACTGTTTTCTGGCGTCAAATTCTGCGGGTGGATCGGATATCCCGTAACTGTCCCCCAATTCAGCTTCCGAATCATCAAAATCATCAAAAATCGGAAGTTTTGGTAGCCGGTCAATCTGCGGGACGGGAGCTGAAGAAATCCTTTTTAAGTAGTCCTCAGATATGTCGTCAGGGAAGTTTTTCCCTGCCTGGAAATTATTTCCAAGACAAATTTACTTCGAAATCATGCATAAAAAGCGCTACCTGTTTACAGATAATCAACTTCTCTGCCACGATATTTCAAGTTAGGTGTGGAATGTGTCTTGAGTAAAATGTCTAAAAATGCAACCTAACTTGAGCTATGAAGTTTTATACTATAAAAGTTAAAAAAAAAAAAAATATATATTCATTTTTTTTTTTATTTAAGAAGTGCTATTTAAATATTGATTTTCGGTATTCAAGTCTCAAAATGTTGAATTACTCTTCGCAAAGTGTCGGAGAATTATGATAAAGAATAGATCATCTTACTATCCATGATGACTGAGCATTGTTGATGAAGTTAATCATAGCATCCGTATCCTTGAAACTGAGTTTTTTGAGGTCCATAGAAGCAATGTCCCTTGCTGTTACCTGAACGAGAATGACACCTATCACAAGTAAAATATCAGCTAAACACATCATTTGCGGGCGCAAACCTGCATGATGTGGCGTGAACAGCAGTTTTCTTCTTTATTTTACTGTTTAGTCGATTCTGAATGTGACAAAATCGCTGGCACTTCGGGGCTGCGAAAAATTTCAAAGATGAAAGTTTGGAGTCTCATTGAGTCGACACAAACAACTGCATCCGTGTTTTGTGCGCATTCGAGCTTGGAAAAGAGTAGCGATTCAAACAATGGGACATTAATCACGGGCATTTCAAACTTTAATTTTCCCAGAACCACCTTCCACTCGTCTATGAGTATCTTCCAGCCCAATTGAGCATCTTGTTTTTGTTCTTTTGGCAGCCTCTCTTCCGTATCCCCGTCGATGCGACCATGCCAGGATATCGGTTTGTTCATAACGTCAATTTGTCAAATATCGTAGTATTTTCCATATGTATACATTTTCCTACGAAAAAAAGTAGCAAAATTTTTAAAACGTGCGCTGGTTCCATTATACTAAATATGATCCAGTTCTTTAATTCTTTATCTGAGTAAATGACAAATGGTCCATTCAGAATTTACCCGTTTGCGTGCTTTAAAATCGCAAGTTGAAAAACGCGACGCGAGTTTGAATGATCGCGCTAAACACTGCGGTCGTCGGAAAACGCACGTTAGCGCCTGCAAGACTGCATGCATACTACAAGCATTGCGCGTCCTTCACAGCACATGGTGCGCGCATGCTAGTGCCTGCAAGGCTGCATGGATACTTCTCGCATTACGTGTACGGGCACAACGTTTTTTTTTTTACGGCTTACATGACAGAGCGTGCATCCTAGTTCATGTTCTCGCAGAGACTTTTTGGCGTTATCGACTTTTAATTTAATTTAGGCTCAGACGAGCCGAGAGGTAAATAATGGACTAAAGGCAAACCACGAGAGACCCTATAGTTCGTCCATCATCCCCCTTTGTCTATGACAACCATCCATTCCAACTAATAGAAGTATTGTATGATACATTTCGATGACTAAAGTGCGAAACCACGTATCTCCATACTGATGTATTGAAATTTCCGTTTCTATTGTAATATTTCGAAGAGAAGAAAGCCAACTTTATAGCTTGAAATTTTTGCAGATTATTCTGCCGACAGTCGAAGAAAAGTCGAGGCAGTTTTTAAGAAATTACGTTGCCTGGTTTTCCAATGAAAAGCTAAAGTACGGCAGGAAGTCTGCGACATCGCAAATGCCGCGGAAAAAAAGCGTTAGGGGTCATCCCCTAAAATTGGGGAACTACCCTAATTTGTTGGATGACACAGGCATTTCCGATTATTTTTGATAGTATCGCAACTCAAGTTGGGGTGGTATAGTAGCATTTGGGTTCGTGACCGAATTTATTGGGGTACTACCACGATGAATTAGAAATACCCAGGCGATATTTTATTTATTTTAGTTTGTATTTATATTAGTGTAAATGAGCGACACAAACATAGTGTCCAAGCATATTTGTCAGTGAAAACCCCCCAAAATTTACTTTTTAAAGATCATTATAAAAATCACTTAGAGAATAAAATTCCATACAAACTAATAAGGTTTTTAACCCCTTGAAAAAAGCGTCAACTTCCCAGTCAACTGTCATCTAACAACCCCTAGCTCTTTTTTCCGCGAGAGATACGTGGTACCGCACATTGCCCATCGATATTCAATTCTCGAATGAAAATTTTGCTGCTTTGAAATGCAATTACATTATTCTTTTATCCGGGAAACAACCATACGACTAAACTTCTCTTCCTAGCGAGGAAGTATTACCAATAGTTTCACTGTTCCTTTAAAAGTCCGTGACTGCCTGGGCTGGAACATCGAAAATGCTAATCATGCATGATTACGGGCCAAATGCACTCCCACCACATATGCGTCCCGGCGCGCTGGCGCTGGGCTGGTGGCTACCGCGCGCGCGTAGTTGGAAGGCGTTGCTTAAGTCACCTCGGTGTTTTATTGTCCACGGAGATAAGCATAATGCATGTTTACAGCGGCTACTGAAAAATATCTTCCGCGTACGAGGTGCGTGCCCGGAATTATTCAGTCAAAATCGTGGTCTACCCGATCAGATACAGCCCCCGCCGCCACCCCCTCCCCGCACCGCCGCCACCCCCTCCCCGCGCCGCCGCCACGATTCAACGCTGGATCGCGTAGTGTTAGTTTATGGGCATGGCGCATTAATGCGTTGCCGAATTGAAGTCCGGGTTTTTTGACCGTGGGAGGTGAAAGGGCCTAAAATATGTGCCGCTCTGAGGAGGAAGAGGGTTTGAGTTTGCGTTACGGGTGCGTTACAGGTGGGAGGGAATAGTCCAGAGCTGCGTTAATTCTTCCAGCTACCCCACACGTGATAAGATACGATTTTGTGATGTCGAGTACGAGTCTAATGGGAGATCGGAAAATTGACACTGGGTCATAATCGATTCCAAATGGACGGAGTTGAACAGAAAGGAACCAAGCCACATCGGGCTCGAACCGAGAAAAAGAGGTTTCAAGTTTGGCTCCTGAATAAGACTCAATGTAAAAGATAAACTTCAAGTTCAAATTCTGCAAAATTTGCTCCAACAAAAACTTTAAATTTTTGGCGATAGATAGTAGAACAGTGGTTGAGTTCAAAACCACTCATAACTCAATTTTTTCCAAAATGTGGGTTGGTTTCTTTCTGCTTAATTCAGTCCAAATGGTCTTAAACGCAAAAAAAATTAGAACAAATTTTAAGAGTAAAAAACAAGTTTTGCGACTGTGAAGTTCAAGTAATGCTGAAATCGGGACGTTATAGTTTTTCAGAAATTTATGATGAAGGAGGCTTTTCATCCTATATTCATCATAAAAGATCATCACTCATCATTCTCATCATCACCCCTCCGACGTAAGGACGTATCTCGATACCCACGTGAGCCCTAATTTACGTATAAATCTATGCTCTCCGGGGTTCATGTGGAAATCGAGATACGTCCTTACGTCAGAGGAGCGACGAGATATCCGAACAGAACGTTACGCATTTCTAGTGAGGGTTGCAGGTCTACATATATGTTATCTGTATGTTAGAGGAGGGAGGATTAAAAAAAAGTCAGCATTTCATATTGAAGGAGGTTGCATGTTATGTGAGGGACTCAGGTGCAGTGCAATGTTGAGAAAAATAGCGGAAAATTCATGTTCTGAGAACTGTTTTTACCGTAGCACCCGTTTCTTGGGAGCTGAAAAAAACTTAAATTGCCAGAAAGCGAATTTCAGCCAAAAATGTTGTGATATTCGTTCTGGCAACAATGGTCACAAGAAACTGAGTCCGTTCTTCAGGGCTGTTTGCTCACAGCATTTCCTCGGTAGTGCTACATGGAGTGAATATCCATGGGCGTACAATTTCAGATAAGGGCGTCAACGAAAAATCGCAAAAGCTACCTCGATCCTGTTGGACGATCAATCGAAAATGTAACCGCTACCATACGTGTAAAAGCGTTCTGTGCATGTAGTGAGTCTTGTAGAAAGCAATGGCTCTCTGTTGTTCATAGTGAAATACATGATCTAGGCGGAGTATGGCTGGAGGAAACAAGATCATTATACCATTACAGATACATGTATCTGAGTCCCTTGTCCACTTCGTAAATAAAATTCATTCCGTCTTGGAATTGAACAGGAAAAAGTGGAATATAGAAACTCTTCTCTACATCGCGAGCTCATCAAATATCAACATTTCTTCATAATCTTGAGATGGTAAGAAGGTTGATGCTTATGTGATGATATCATGATTTTGCGGAAACGAGATTGTATGAAAGGAAGTCCAATTTGCAAATTAAAATTCTTTATGGTCCATTGGTAGCATCATCAAATGGAACGAAGTATGGTGCAGGAATACGGATATTCAACACGGTTTCCAGATATCATATGACGGTATTTTTTGAAACGAGGTGTTTGATAGTTCTTCCATGGTAAAAGAAAAGGATGTATGAACATTCGGAAGTTGCCAAATTTATTTTTGAAAATTATGTATTCTTCCAGTAAAGTTTTTGATGTTATTTTTCAAACGGCTAGGCAATTTAGATTAAATTGTGGTTATAATTGTGCGAAAAATTCAAAGAAAAATGAACATAAATATTGAGACGATTTGGGATTTATCGGAAGAAAGTTTGAAACGTCCTAAGGTTCATCCGACGTTTTCTCTGAGCATACCACCAAATTGCTATAATTCTTTGCATTAGCCTGGGTAATCAACCCCTCATAGCTGATGTCTGTCCAACAGACAACCACAACAAATTTAATTCCCTTTTACAGGTACCGATACCACCTCTCCCCACTGTCCCCTCCGCCGAGCACACGCCCTATTGTGTCCGCACCCGGGATTAATGACGGTCAGAGCGGTCAGACGTCCGACTTACCGGCCACCGAATTGTTGCCACATGTGGTTATCACCCTTGGTGATTCTCATGGTTACTGGATTCTTGATCATATAAATGAAGCCTAGGAAATCTAGGAGCCTGTAGATAGGAGAGACGTCATCAGGCTTCGTTTTTTAACTTCCCCCCCGAGTCTGAACGGCACCTCATTGACGGCATATAGTGGAGCATTACAAGTTCAAACCTCGCGCCGTCGCGCCTTCAATTTTGTAGATACAACACGGACATCCATCATGCACGAATAGTTGTATCTCTGCGCCGTCATCAAACACTTGTCCTTTCCCTTTGCTCTATTTCCATGTTGTGGTGGTTCCGCGTGTCTTATTTGTAGAGGTGCTTCAAGGGCTTTGTGAGCAACATTGTCAAAGATAGGAGAAACGAAATCAGGCCTCTTTTTTTTCATTTTATCCCCGAGTCTGAGCGACACATCACTGGGAGCGGAGCATTGCGAGTTCACGCTTCATGCCATCGCGCGCCTTCAATTTTGTAGATACAGCACGGACATCCATTAAGCACGAATATTTGTATCGCTGCCATTAGCGCGCGTGAAAGGGTCTCTTGTTTTTTTTTTTTTAAATTTAAGAAAATTTCAGGTTAATTTAACTCAAAATAGGCCAAGAAGTTTCTATCGAGAAACCTCTTGGTTTATTTTGGTTTTAATTTTTCTCATTGCATATTATTCATCACCAGTCGGCAGCTCTTCACCGCGGATTCTCCTGACTTTTCAATTTTCATCATGCGCTGTCAATAATCTGCACAGCCATCTTTGCACTTTCGTAA